ATGTTTATCTATTTTCTCTATCTACACTTTTACAGCCAGTTTCCATTCACAGGAAGCGAGAAAACTTTTTTTTTTATATACCTCTGCATGTATGTTGCCTTACAAGTTCTGTTCCACATTCTGGTTTCAGTTTGATGTGGGGAATTTAGACATGGAAAAATACAAGATTAGAAAATGAAATGGGGGGGAAATATAACTTGCTTTGTTTCTTATAGATTTATAATAATAATAATAATGCAATGGTTTTATACGGCGCTTTTCAGGACACAGTGAAAAAACGGTGGAGATAAACTACTTCTGTCGCCACAGCTGCCCTGGGGCACACTGACAGAAGCGTATAGTATGGTATAGTATAGAATAGAATACACATACAGTATAGATTGGTATATTCTGAAACCATATTGAAATCAAAACAATTTATTTTCCCCAAACAAAGCATTACAAAGAATTATTACCGTACTTTCTGGTCTATAAGGCGCACCTGTATATAAGCCGCACCAGCAACATTGGAAAAGAAAGTACATTTGTCCACATATAGGCCGCACTTGAATATAAGCCGCAGGTTTTGATGTTTTAATGAAGCAGAGAGACGACGGTTTTAACTGGACACATGATTTAATGACGAGATTTATAACAGTTTAACCGTTGGCGTCCATGACTCATTCACCTTCATCTGTTTTGATAATAAACAAGTGTCCAGTGGCTACTAAAACTTCATGGAGTCAAATAAATAAATCCATAACGTCTGCTCTGACAACAGCCCGACTCTAGCACAATAAAAACACACATATTAGCCGCATCGCTATATAAGCCGCAGGGTTTAAAGCAGCGGCTTATAGTCCTCAAATTAGGATATTATTCTCATTTTCCAACTTTTGTCAAATAAAATTGTCGAAAATGTCCTTTCTCTATACACACTCACAAAACTTAAATCTGTTGTCATGATTTACAATCTATTTTCATATTTTTGTTATTCAGTTATAAGCAATTTCCTATGTCAAGTGGTGACCAAAGGTTTCTGGTCTTTCTTCTGCAAAAGTACCTGAAATACCGAGGACATTGTAAGTTTTGTTTTCCCTCCAGTGAATGACTAAATGGATTTGTGCAGGTGACGTACGTCCATGTTCTGCAATTAAACTAGAAGCAACTGAAGTGCTCTCTTCCATTGTAATGATCTCTCTCTCTCTAGTTTCGCTCTCTCAGGTCTCTGCTCTGGTTTATCTCTGGTCTCTCTTTGGCCTCTCTCTCTGGTTTCTCTTTCTGGTCGCTCTCTCTCTAGACTTTCTCTGGCCTCTCTCTCTCTCTCTCTCTGGTCTCTCTCTCTCTGGCCTCTCTCTAGTCTCTCTCTGGTCTCTCTCTCTCTGGCCTCTCTCTAGTCTCTCTCTGGTCTCTATCTGTATTCTTTCTAAGGCCTCTCTCTCTCTCTGTCTCTTTCTGTGTCTCTCTGGTCTCTGTCTAGTCTCTCTCTGGTTTCTCTGGCCTCTCTCTCTCTCTCTCTCTGGTCTCTCTCTCTCTCTCTCTCTGGTCTCTCTCTCTGGCCTCTCTCTCTCTGGTCTCTCTCTCTCTGATCTCTCTCTCTCTGATCTCTCTCTCTCTGATCTCTCTCTCTCTGGTCTCCCTCTCTGGTCTCCCTCTCTGGTCTCCCTCTCTGGTCACTCTCTCTCTCTCTGGCCTCTCTCTCTCTGGTCTCTCTCTCTCTGGTCTCTCTCTCTCTCTGGTCTCTCTCTGGTCTCTCTCTCTCTCTCTGGTCTCTCTCTCTCTCTCTGGTCTCTCTCTCTCTGGTCTCTCTCTCTCTGGTCTCTCTCTAGTCTCTCTCTCTCCTCTCTCTCTCTCCTGGTCTCTCTCTCTCTCTCTCTCTGGTCTCTCTCTGGTCTCTCTCTGGTCTCTCTCTGGTCTCTCTCTGGTCTCTCTCTCTGGTCTCTCTCTCTGGTCTCTCTCTCTGGTCTCTCTCTCTCTGGTCTCTCTCTCTCTGGTCTCTCTCTCTGGTCTCTCTCTCTCTGGTCTCTCTCTAGTCTCTCTCTCTCTGGTCTCTCTCTAGTCTCTCTCTCTGGTCTCTCTTTCTGGTCTCTCTCTGGTCTCTCTCTCTGGTCTCTCTCTGGTCTCTCTCTAGTCTCTCTCTAGTCTCTCTCTCTGGTCTCTCTCTGGTCTCTCTCTGGTCTCTCTCTGGCCTCACCCTCTGGTCCCTCTCTCTGGTCTCTCTCTCTGGTCTCTCTCTGGTCTCTCTCTCTGGTCTCTCTCTCTGGTCTCTCACTGGTCTCTCTCTCTCTGGTCTCTCTCTAGTCTCTCTCTCTGGTCTCTCTCTCTGGTCTCTCTCTCTGGTCTCTCTCTGGTCTCTCTCTGGTCTCTCTCTGGTCTCTCTCTGGCCTCACCCTCTGGTCTCTCTCTGGTCTCTCTCTAGTCTCTCTCTCTCTGGTCTCTCTCTGGTCTCTCTCTCTGGTCTCTCTCTCTGGTCTCTCACTGGTCTCTCTCTCTCTGGTCTCTCTCTAGTCTCTCTCTCTCTCTCTGGTCTCTCTCTGGTCTCTCTCTGGTCTCTCTCTGGTCTCTCTCTGGTCTCTCTCTGGTCTCTCTCTGGTCTCTCTCTGGTCTCTCTCTGGCTCCTCCTCTGGTCTCTCTCTGGTCTCTCTCTAGTCTCTCTCTCTCTCTGCTCTCTCTCTCTGGTCTCTCTCTCTGGTCTCTCTCTCTGGTCTCTCTTCTCTCTCTCTGGTCTCTCTCTCTCTCTGTCTCTCTCGTCTCTCTCTCTCTCCTCTCTCCTCTCTCTCTCTGACTCCTCTCTCTCTCTGACTCCTCTCTCTCTCTGACTCCTCTCTCTCTCTCTGACTCCTCTCTCTCTCTCTGACTCCTCTCTCTCTCTGACTCCTCTCTCTCTCTGACTCCTCTCTCTCTCTGACTCCTCTCTCTCTCTCTGACTCCTCTCTCTCTCTGACTCCTCTCTCTCTCTCTCTGACTCCTCTCTCTCTCTCTGACTCCTCTCTCTCTCTGACTCCTCTCTCTCTCTGACTCCTCTCTCTCTCTGACTCCTCTCTCTCTCTGACTCCTCTCTCTCTCTGACTCCTCTCTCTCTCTGACTCCTCTCTCTCTCTGACTCCTCTCTCTCTCTGACTCCTCTCTCTCTCTGACTCCTCTCTCTCTCTGACTCCTCTCTCTCTCTGACTCCTCTCTCTCTCTGACTCCTCTCTCTCTCTGACTCCTCTCTCTCTCTGACTCCTCTCTCTCTCTGACTCCTCTCTCTCTCTGACTCCTCTCTCTCTCTGACTCCTCTCTCTCTCCTCTCTCTCTGACTCCTCTCTCTCTCCTGACTCCTCTCTCTCTCTGACTCCTCTCTCTCTCTCTCTCCTCTCTCTCTCTCTGACTCCTCTCTCTCTCTGACTCCTCTCTCTCTCTGACTCCTCTCTCTCTCTGACTCCTCTCTCTCTCTGACTCCTCTCTCTCTCTCCTGACTCCTCTCTCTCTCTCTGACTCCTCTCTCTCTCTGACTCCTCTCTCTCTCTGACTCCTCTCTCTCTCTGACTCCTCTCTCTCTCTCTGACTCCTCTCTCTCTCTGACTCCTCTCTCTCTCTCTGACTCCTCTCTCTCTCTGACTCCTCTCTCTCTCTGACTCCTCTCTCTCTCTGACTCCTCTCTCTCTCTCTGACTCTCTCTCTCTCTCTGACTCCTCTCTCTCTCTGACTCCTCTCTCTCTCTGACTCCTCTCTCTCTCTGACTCCTCTCTCTCTCTCTGACTCTCTCTCTCTCTCTGACTCCTCTCTCTCTCTGACTCCTCTCTCTCCCTGACTCCTCTCTCTCTCTGACTCCTCTCTCTCTCTGACTCCTCTCTCTCTCTGACTCCTCTCTCTCTCTCTGACTCCTCTCTCTCTCTGACTCCTCTCTCTCTCTGACTCCTCTCTCTCTCTGACTCCTCTCTCTCTCTCTGACTCCTCTCTCTCTCTGACTCCTCTCTCTCTCTGACTCCTCTCTCTCTCTGACTCCTCTCTCTCTCTGACTCCTCTCTCTCTCTGACTCCTCTCTCTCTCTGACTCCTCTCTCTCTCTCTCTCTCTCTCTGACTCCTCTCTCTCTCTGACTCCTCTCTCTCTCTGACTCCTCTCTCTCTCTGACTCCTCTCTCTCTCTGACTCCTCTCTCTCTCTGACTCCTCTCTCTCTCTGACTCCTCTCTCTCTCTGACTCCTCTCTCTCTCTGACTCCTCTCTCTCTCTGACTCCTCTCTCTCTCTGACTCCTCTCTCTCTCTGACTCCTCTCTCTCTCTGACTCCTCTCTCTCTCTGACTCCTCTCTCTCTCTGACTCCTCTCTCTCTCTGACTCCTCTCTCTCTCTGACTCCTCTCTCTCTCTCTGACTCCTCTCTCTCTGACTCCTCTCTCTCTCTCTGACTCCTCTCTCTCTCTCTGACTCCTCTCTCTCTCTGACTCCTCTCTCTCTCTGACTCCTCTCTCTCTCTGACTCCTCTCTCTCTCTGACTCCTCTCTCTCTCTGACTCCTCTCTCTCTCTGACTCCTCTCTCTCTCTGACTCCTCTCTCTCTCTCTGACTCCTCTCTCTCTCTGACTCCTCTCTCTCTCTGACTCCTCTCTCTCCCTGACTCCTCTCTCTCCCTGACTCCTCTCTCTCCCTGACTCCTCTCTCTCTCTGACTCCTCTCTCTCTCTGACTCCTCTCTCTCTCTCTCTGACTCCTCTCTCTCTCTCTGACTCCTCTCTCTCTCTCTGACTCCTCTCTCTCTCTGACTCCTCTCTTCTCTCTGACTCCTCTCTCTCTCTGACTCCTCTCTCTCCCTGACTCCTCTCTCTCCCTGACTCCTCTCTCTCTCTGACTCCTCTCTCTCTCTGACTCCTCTCTCTCTCTGACTCCTCTCTCTCTCTGACTCCTCTCTCTCTCTCTGACTCCTCTCTCTCTCTCTGACTCCTCTCTCTCTGACTCCTCTCTCTCTCTGACTCCTCTCTCTCTCTCTGACTCCTCTCTCTCTCTCTGACTCCTCTCTCTCTCTGACTCCTCTCTCTGTTTCAGGCAGAGAACTCTGCTCTGGTGTTGGCCAATGAGAGCCAGCGGGAGGCGTACGAGCGCTGCCTGGACGAGGTGACCCCTTTAAACACACAAATCTTTAGTCTTTTTGTTGATTTGTGAAGGTGTGACGACCGTGTGTGTGTGTGTGCGTGCAGGTGGCCAACCACGTGGTGCAGGCGCTGCTCAACCAGAAGGTATTCTGCTTGTTTCTCACTCACATGTTTTTACTTGTGCTCAGTTCTTTTAATGAGACAAAAGTGTAAAGAAACTAGTTTTGCTTAATCACCACATGTTTGGGACGTAGGCTTCTACCTTAGACAAACTGACCACGCCCCCTTAGACTGACCCCGCCTCCTCTGACTGACCACGCCCCCTCCAACTGACAACGCCCCCTTCAGACTGACCACGCACCCCTCAGATTGACCACGCTCCCTCAGACTGGCCAAGCCCCCCGTGGTCGCTGAAGTGTCCCAAGTGTGAGCCAAGGTGAAGGCCCCCTCGTCCCTGTTGATGGTCCGTGGGCTTCCTGATTTCAATCCCCCTCGTCTCCATATTTTTGTTTTTGTATTTTCTGATTGCACTGAAAGAAGTAAGTCTCCTGCCGAAACATGTGGTTAAGCAGAACTAGCATTTTTACATTTGTGTCTCTCTGATGTCTCTCTGATGTCTCCCTGATGTCTCCCTGATGTCTCCCTGATGCCTCCCTGATGATTCCCTGATGTCTCCCTGATGATTCCCTAACGTCTCCCTGATGATTCCCTGATGTCTCCCTGATGATTCCCTTACGTCTCCCTGATGATTCCCTTACGTCTCCCTGATGATTCCCTAATGTCTCCCTGATGATTCCCTGACGTCTCCCTGATGATTCCCTTACGTCTCCCTGATGATTCCCTAACGTCTCCCTGATGATTCCCTAACGTCTCCCTGATGATTCCCTAACGTCTCCCTGATGATTCCCTAATGTCTCCCTGATGTCTCCCTGATGTCTCTCTGATGTCTCCCTGATGTCTCCCTAATGTCTCCCTGATGTCTCCCTGATGTCTCTCTGATGTCTCCCTGATGTCTCTCTGATGTCTCCCTGATGTCTCCCTGATGCTTCCCTGATGATTCCCTAATGTCTCCCTGATGATTCCCTGATGTCTCCCTGATGTCTCCCTGATGATTCCCTGATGTCTCCCTAATGATTCCCTAATGTCTCCCTGATGATTCCCTGATGTCTCTCTGATGTCTCTCTGATGTCTCTCTGATGTCTCCCTGATGCCTCCCTGATGCCTCCCTGATGTCTCCCTGATGATTCCCTGATGTCTCTCTGATGATTCCCTAATGTCTCCCTGATGATTCCCTGATGTCTCCCTGATGATTCCCTAATGTCTCCCTGATGATTCCCTGATGTCTCTCTGATGTCTCTCTGATGTCTCTCTGATGTCTCCCTGATGCCTCCCTGATGCCTCCCTGATGTCTCCCTGATGATTCCCTGATGTCTCTCTGATGATTCCCTAATGTCTCCCTGATGATTCCCTAATGTCTCCCTGATGATTCCCTGATGTCTCCCTGATGTCTCCCTGATGATTCCCTGATGTCTCCCTGATGATTCCCTAATGTCTCCCTGATGATTCCCTGATGTCTCCCTGATGTCTCCCTGATGATTCCCTGATGTCTCCCTGATGATTCCCTGATGTCTCCCTGATGTCTCCCTGATGTCTCCCTGATGATTCCCTAATGTCTCCCTGATGATTCCCTAATGTCTCCCTGATGTCTCCCTGATGTCTCCCTGATGTCTCCCTGATGTCTCCCTGATGTCTCCCTGATGAGCAGGACTTGAGGGAGGAGTGCATAAAGCTGAAGGTCCTGGTGTGTGACTTGGAGCGACAGAACCGAGCGCTGTGTGAGCTCTTCCAACAGAAGCTGCCCAACCATCCCACCGCCCACTACCAGGTACTACAGCTGTCAGACTGTGCAACGAACACTCCTGACATGGTCATCTCCTACATGTACGTCTGGTCTTACCATGTGTAAACTCTGGTCCATGTACGTCTGGTCTTACCATGTGTAAACACAGATAATCAGGGACTGACTCCTCCTCTGCTCCTCAGGTTCAGGCTGGACCACATCTCCCAGAATTCACTGCTCCTCTTCCCCATGAGTCCAAGCAGGAGGCGGCCCACACAGAAGCACAAGCCAAGGTGACAATCATAGACTGTAGACCCAGGACTGAGGCTGTAGACCCAGGGCTGAGGCTGTAGACCCAGGACTGAGGCTGTAGACCCAGGACTGAGGCTGTAGACCCAGGACTGAGGCCGTAGACCCAGGACTGAGGCCGTAGACCCAGGACTGAGGCTGTAGACCCAGGACTGAGGCCGTAGACCCAGGAGACCGAGGCTGTAGACCCATAAAAACCCTTTCTGGTTGAAGTATGGTTCCCCATGGTCCTGAGTCTGGACTTAAAGGTCTCTGACAGTCTTCTTCATTGTTCTGGTCCTGCTCAGAACCCAAAGGTCTTTGCTGATTTAAAAACACATCTTACACGTCACATGCTTGTGTGATGCATCATATTAAAGCTAGAGCCTTAAAGTTTATTTAAATATATACTAAAATAATGTTTGTCATTCCTATTTCACGCTGCATCCTTTGAAGTTTGAGGAAAAAAAACTTTTTTGTAGCCTCGCCTAAAATATTAAATTTCTAAAGGCTTTAACAAAGACAGACTTTGTTGTAAGTTCACAATATTCAAACCCTGTGTTCACTGTGTTGTTGACAACAACTGTCTAAAGTTTCAGACTTCTAAGTTTGATAGATTTTATGCAGTTTCTCCTTTTCATCAAGTAGTGCCATTTGGCACACTTTGGCACACTTTGGCACACTTTGGCACACTTTGTGCCACGTGGCTTTACTGACATTTAATGTCCTCAATAATCATAAAAACCATATTTTGTAGTTTTGGTACTTAAAAGTTACTATATGTGTGAATTTGTATTTATTTTTTAAATTCCAAGTTCATTTTTCCGTAGTGTAAATAAAGTCCTTCTAATGATCTAATCAACAGTTCCCCATGTCCCACCCATCGCTGGAAAGCTTTCCCTATTGGCTACTCAGACATGTCAATCATTCGGCAAAAGAACACTTCCCTAGCCGTCTGGCTAACAGCAAATACAGACGGACCATGTGCAGAAGCTAGCCGCTTGTTTTATTGACGGGTGTTGCAAACAAACTCGAGCATCTCTTCAGGGAAGGTCTCGTTTTGTAGCTAACGAGTTGGAGAAGTGTTTGGGTCAAAAACTAAACTCTAAAGTCCGCTAACTGTGAAAAAGGAGCGTCTGTGGTCTTCAGAACGTTTCTTATCCGCAGTAGATACATTCTCCAGAATGGATTATACTTTGGGACATACAAGTAGAGATTATTTTTATATGGACTGTTCCAGAGAGAAAGATCTTTAGGAAGCTGGGAGGAGAGCTGATTTATTTATGCAGCACAACACCAAAGGTAAAAAACTTATTCGGAAGTGATTTATTTTGTGCTCATATTATGTGTTATATCTTTTGAATGCAAAGATGATGTAGTTTACACTTGTTTATACTGTAATTATAGATGAGAAAATAAGCTTTAAAATGATATACAGCTTTTGGGGTTTGGGTTTCAAAATACATCTGCTATTGCCAGCAGAACATTTAAAAAATAAAAATTACCCGTGGGCGGGCGGGTGGGTGTTAAGAGGTTAATAATACAATACATTCATTCATTCATTTTCAACCCCTTTATAAGTCCATTTCTGGGTCGGGGGGTGGCAATGAGAGCTGCACCCAGTGCTCACAGCACCAGTCCCTCTGATCCTCTGCAGGGGGTCCACAAGAAGATGGCTGCTACAATACAGTCATCTCAGAGACTTAACAAAGCCATTGAAATCACCAACACAGAAAATCAACAGTTAACACACAGAAAGAATATAGAACACATGTGATAAATGTCACACATGTCTATACTGACATTATCAGAGTGATTATCTGGTTAGTGAGGGAGTCACGCAGGCGCTTCGGACCGAGTAGGATCACTTCTGTCTTCTCCGGGTTGAGAAGTAGGAAGTTAAGAGTCATCCACATTTTAAGGTCCTTTATGCAGGCACTGAGCTTTTCCAGCTGATCTGTCTGATTTGGCTTCATCGACAGATAAAGCTGTGTGTCATCTGCAGCAGTGGAAATTAATTCCATGCTTTTTAATAATGTTTCCCAGTGGCAGCATGTAGAGAGTAAAAAGAATCGGTCCGAGTACCGAACCCTGCGGCACACCGAATTCCACTCCAGAATAAGGCGACGAGTCCTGATTCACATTGACGAAGTGATATCGATCTGATAAATAGGATTTAAACCAGCCAAGGGCTGTTCCTCTAAGACCTATATCACATTCTAGCCTCTGCAGTAGAATGCTGTGGTCTATTGTGTCAAATGCAGCACTAAGGTCCAGTAGGACCAGCACTGACACTGGAGATGGTGTTTGGTTCTCACTCCATTTGTCGCGTGGTTCTTAATCGCGATTTTCTACTCGCTTCTTACTGCTGCTTAATACTATATTCGTGCACGTAGCTAGAGACGGAGCGCCACGCCCCCCCCCCAGGGAGGAGCGCTCCGTCGCTGTGGAGAAGGACTGGTCCATGTGACGTACGCAAAGGCACTTACTAACTCCAGTGATAGAAGCATTTCTGATATTTGGTGTACCTGTGTACATGCGTACCTGTGTACCTGCGTACCTGTGTACATGCGTACCTGCGTACCTGCGTACATGCGTATCTGCGTACATGCGTATCTGCGTACCTGCGTAAATGCGTACCTGTGTACCTGTATACATGCGTACCTGCGTACCTGCGTACATGCGTACCTGTGTACCTGTGTACCTGCGTACCTGCGTACCTGTGTACTTGTGTACCTGCGTACCTGCGTACCTGCGTACTTGTGTACCTGTGTACCTGCGTACCTGCGTACTTGTGTACCTGCGTACCTGCGTACCTGTGTACCTGCGTACCTGCGTACCTGTGTACTTGTGTACCTGCGTACCTGCGTACTTGTGTACCTGTGTACCTGCGTACCTGCGTACTTGTGTACCTGTGTACCTGTGTACCTGCGTACCTGCGTACTTGTGTACCTGTGTACCTGCGTACCTGCGTACCTGCGTACCTGTGTACCTGCGTACATGCGTACCTGCGTACCTGCGTACCTGCGTACCTGCGTACCTGTGTACCTGTGTACCTGTATACATGCGTACCTGCGTACCTGCGTACCTGCGTACATGCGTACCTGCGTACATGTGTACCTGTGTACCTGTATACATGCGTACCTGCGTACCTGTGTACCTGCGTACCTGTGTACCTGTGTACCTGCGTACCTGTGTACCTGCATACCTGCGTACCTGCGTATATGCGTACATGCGTACATGCGTACCTGCGTACATGCGTACCTGTGTACTTGTGTACTTGCGTACATGCGTACCTGTGTACCTGCGTACATGCGTACCTGTGTATCTGTGTACCTGCGTACATGCGTACCTGTGTACATGCGTACCTGTGTACTTGCGTACATGTGTACATGCGTACCTGTGTACATGCGTACCTGCGTACATGCGTACCTGTGTACCTGTGTACTTGTGTACATGCGTACCTGTGTACCTGTGTACATGCGTACCTGTGTACATGCGTACCTGTGGGCGGCACGGTGGCTGAGTGGATAGCACTCTCGCCTCTTAGCAAGAAGGTCCTGGGTTCGAATCCCGGTCGGACCAGGGCTTTTCTGAGTGGAGTTTGCATGTTCTCCCCGTGTCTGCGTAGGTTTCCTCCGGGTACTCCGGTTTCCCCTACCACTAAAAATATGTCCAATAGTTCTAGCATGCGCCTCCTGTACTGGCGGCCCCGCTCCCATCTCTGTGTGGAGTGAGAGACAAATGCCCAAAATTAACAATTGTAAACCGCTTTGAGACTCAGATCTGCAGTGAAAAGGCGGTATATAAATAAAAACTTACTTACTTACTTACTTACTGTGTACATGCGTACATGCGTACCTGTGTACATGCGTACATGCGTACCTGTGTACATGCGTACCTGTGTACCTGCGTACCTGCGTACATGCGTACCTGTGTACCTGCGTACATGCGTACCTGTGTACCTGCGTACCTGTGTACCTGCGTACATGCGTACCTGTGTACCTGCGTACATGCGTACCTGTGTACCTGCGTACATGCGTACCTGTGTACCTGCGTACATGCGTACCTGTGTACCACATGTTCACCCCTGGTCTGAATCCTGATTGAAAGACTTCAAACATATTATTAACAAGAACAAACATTAAGGAACAATAGTCTCATCCTTTTTTAAAGCTGAGTATAAAGTATAATTAGCTCTTCATTGGTAATTATTAAGTACTTATTAGTCCTTATACTTATACTACGCTTTAATCCACATCTAACTACTTTGCATTTTATTCTTAAAAGTATTTTTATTCTTTATTCTTTATTATCTCTTTCTGACTGTTGCACTGAGTCTGTGACTTCTGTTACTTACGTGGCAATAAACATGATTCTGATTCTAATACTTAATGACCCTTTCCCTGTGGGTTAGATACACTCATTAACATAGATACACTCATTAACTTGGATACACTCATTAACATGGATACACTCATTAACATGGATACACTCATTAACATAGATACACTCATTAACATGGATACACTCATTAACATGGATACACTCATTAACATAGATACACTCATTAACATGGATACACTCATTAACATAGATACACACATTAACATAGATACACTCATTAACATGGATACACTCATTAACATGGATACACTCATTAACATAGATACACTCATTAACATGGATACACTCATTAACATGGATACACTCATTAACATAGATACACTCATTAACTTGGATACACTCATTAACTTGGATACACTCATTAACTTGGATACACTCATTAACATAGATACACTCATTAACATGGATACACTCATTAACATGGATACACTCATTAACATAGATACACTCATTAACTTGGATACACTCATTAAAGGACAACTCACCCTCAAATCCACTGTTTTTTGCTGATAAACAGTATAAATGAGTGTCCAATAGTGTTGTCTACATATCCTGGTCATAATCTTGTCACTTTGGTGCAAATTAGTTGAAAGTTAAACTTTCTGCCTAAAACCGTCTGTGAGGCGCCATCTGCTGGCGACCTGTATTACTACATTTGAATTTTGAATCTGGCGCCAACACTGGCGCGGCAGCAAGACCTGACGTCTGCAGCAAGACCTGACGTCTGAAGCAAGACCTGACGTCTGAAGCAAGACCTGACGTCTGAAGCAAGACCTGACGTCTGAAGCAAGACCTGACGTCTGAAGCAGGACCTGATGTCTGAAGCAAGACCTGACGTCTGAAGCAAGACCTGACGTCTGAAGCGAGACCTGACGTCTGAAGCAAGACCTGACGTCTGAAGCAAGACCTGACGTCTGAAGCAAGACCTGACGTCTGAAGCAAGACCTGACGTCTGAAGCAAGACCTGACGTCTGAAGCAAGACCTGACGTCTGAAGCAAGACCTGACGTCTGAAGCAAGACCTGACGTCTGAAGCAAGACCTGACGTCTGAAGCAAGACCTGACGTCTGAAGCAAGACCTGACGTCTGAAGCAAGACCTGACGTCTGAAGCAAGACCTGACGTCTGAAGCAGGACCTGACGTCTGAAGCAAGACCTGACGTCTGAAGCAAGACCTGACGTCTGAAGCAAGACCTGACGTCTGAAGCAAGACCTGACGTCTGAAGCAAGACCTGACGTCTGAAGCAAGACCTGACGTCTGAAGCAAGACCTGACGTCTGAAGCAAGACCTGACGTCTGAAGCAAGACCTGACGTCTGAAGCAAGACCTGACGTCTGAAGCAAGACCTGACGTCTGAAGCGAGACCTGACGTCAGCAGCAAGACCTGACGTCAGCAGCCCCCCGCCCAGAGCAATGTAAACGGCCCAGTCTCGTTCACGCCCCCTTTAGTCCTCCAGGCCACGCCCATTTAGAGGAAGATTTGAACAGGAAATGTGAGTGACGTAAGCTCCGAGGAACGGGGGTGAGAACCACTTTAACTTGGATACACTCATTAACATGGATACACTCATTAACTTGGATACACTCATTAACATGGATACACTCATTAACATAGATACACTCATTAACATGGATACACTCATTAACATGGATACACTCATTAACTTGGATACACTCATTAACATGGATACACTCATTAACATAGATACACTCATTAACATGGATACACTCATTAACATGGATACACTCATTAACATAGATACACTCATTAACATACACTCATTAACTTCGATACACTCATTAACTTGGATACACTCATTAACATAGATACACTCATTAACTTGGATACACTCATTAACATGGATACACTCATTAACATAGATACACTCATTAACTTGGATACACTCATTAACATGGATACACTCATTAACATAGATACACTCATTAACATGGATACACTCATTAACATGGATACACTCATTAACATAGATACACTCATTAACATAGATACACTCATTAACTTGGATACACTCATTAACATAGATACACTCATTAACATGGATACACTCATTAACATAGATACACTCATTAACTGTTAATGAGGGAGGGCTGAAGGTTTACTGACGGCCTGTGGTCCTGGTCTAACATGGTCTTGACATACAGTACAGAGCAAAAGTTTGGACACCTTCTCATTCAAAGAATTGTTTATTTTCGTGATTATGAAAACTGTAGATTGACACTGAGGGCATCAAACCTATGATGAACTCATGTGAATGATGTTCGTAGTAAAAAAGTATGAACCAAGTGTAAATATGTGTTATATTCTGGTTCTTCAAAGTAGCTCCTTTTGCTCTGATACTGCTTCACTCTTGGCATTCTCTGGATGAGCTTCAACAGGACCTGAAATGGTCTCCAACAGTCTGGAAGGAGTTCCCATGATGCTTAGCACTTGTTGGCCCCTTCACTCTGTGGTCCAGCCCCAAAACCATCTGGACTGGGTTCAGGTCCAAAGCCATCTGGACTGGGTTCAGGTCCAAAACCATCTGGACTGGGTTCAGGTCCAAAACCATCTGGACTGGGTTCAGGTCCAAAACCATCTGGACTGGGTTCAGGTCCAAAACCATCTGGACTGGGTTCAGGTCCAAACCCATCTGGACTGGGTTCAGGTCCAAACCCATCTGGACTGGGTTCAGGTCCAAACCCATCTGGACTGGGTTCAGGTCTAAGCCATCTGGACTGGGTTCAGGTCCAAACCCATCTGGACTGGGTTCAGGTCCAGCCCTTACACAGCCTGGTGTGGGTCTACAGCAATAGTCATGAACAGAACTCAGTGACGGAGAGAGGGTGTCCACACTTTTTCTCTGTACTGTTTATCTGAGCACTGGTACACCACTATGCACCATGCTTCCTCTCTGATGGTCTATGTGTTTCCAGGGTAACGGCGTCTGGTGTATGTGTTTCCAGGGTAACGGCGTCCGCTCGCAGCACGCCTCGCCGGCCCGTGCCGCGCACACGTCCATGGAAGCTCTGTCCCCGTTCTTTAAGAAAAAAGCTCACATCCTGGAAGTCCTGCGCAAGATGGAGGAGACCGACCCACTCAAGTTCCACCCCACCAGCTCCAGCCTGGGCTTCTGCGACTACAGCCAAGTGCTCATGTCCACAGGTGCGAGACCGGAGCGGACTAGGACTGGACTGGACTGGACCAGGACTGGGAATGATTCCATGCACAGCACTACCTGTCTGACCTCCTCCACATCCCACACCCTCTCAAACTCTCCGCTCCTCCTCCTCTCCTAAGCTCTCTGTTCTGAGTACTCTCTCTCTGAGTGCTCTCTCTCTCTGAGTCCTCTCTCTCTGAGTGCTCTCTCTCTCTGAGTCCTCTAAGTCCTCTCTCTGAGTACTCTCTCTCTGAGTGCTCTCTCTGTTCTGAGTACTCTCTCTCTGAGTGCTCTCTCTCTCTGAGTCCTCTCTCTCTGAGTCCTCTCTCTCTGAGTGCTCTCTCTCTGAGTCCTCTCTCTCTGAGTGCTCTCTCTCTGAGTGCTCTCTCTCTGAGACCTCTCTCTGAGTCCTCTCTCTGAGTCCTCTCTCTCTAGCTCTCTGTTCTCTCTGAGTCCTCTCTCTCTCCGAGTCCTCTCTCTGAGTCCTCTCTCTCTGAGTCCTCTCTCTCTCCGAGTCCTCTCTCTGAGACCTCTCTCTCTGAGTCCTCTCTCTCTCCGAGTCCTCTCTCTCTGAGACCTCTCTCTCTGAGTCCTCTCTCTCTCTGAGTCCTCTCTCTCTCTGAGTCCTCTCTCTCTGAGTCCTCTCTCTCTCCGAGTCCTCTCTCTCTGAGACCTCTCTCTCTGAGTCCTCTCTCTCTGAGTCCTCTCTCTCTCCGAGTCCTCTCTCTGAGACCTCTCTCTCTGAGTCCTCTCTCTCTCCGAGTCCTCTCTCTCTGAGACCTCTCTCTCTGAGTCCTCTCTCTCTCTGAGTCCTCTCTCTCTCTGAGTCCTCTCTCTCTGAGTCCTCTCTCTCTCTGAGTCCTCTCTCCGAGTCCTCTCTCTCTGAGTCCTCTCTCTCTGAGTCCTCTCTCCGAGTCCTCTCTCTCCGAGTCCTCTCTCTCTGAGTCCTCTCTCTCTCTGAGTCCTCTCTCTCTGAGTCCTCTCTGAGTCCTCTCTCTCCGAGTCCTCTCTCTGAGTCCTCTCTCTCTCTGAGTCCTCTCTCTCTGAGTCCTCTCTCTGAGTCCTCTCTCTCCGAGTCCTCTCTCTGAGTCCTCTCTCTCTCTGAGTCCTCTCTCTCTGAGTCCTCTCTCTCTGAGTCCTCTCTCTCTGAGTCCTCTCTCACAGTCTCTCTGTTCCACAGAAGCCGTCCTGGCCTCCGCAGACCCTCACTCGCTGCAATACAAACCTCTACACAGTCACTGCCGCTGCACCTGCCCCGAGGCAGAGCGGCTGAACGGGGATGGAAGCAGCCAGTCTGATCCTCACAGCAAGAGGAGCCCCGAGAGTCCTCACAGCAAGAGGAGCCCCGAGAGTCCTCACAGCAAGAGGAGCCCCGAGAGTCCCACCAAAGCCTGCAGCCAAAGTGTGTGCAGCTCGGTGACAGCACAAAGCCTCGGGGCGGCTGCGGCAGGGGAATGTGAGGTGAAGAGCCTGTGCAAACAGACTGACACGCAGAGAAGTGAGGCTCAAGCACAAAGGACCAAGCCACACTCACAGCAGAGTGGTCCCAGAGAGCCCCCTGCGATAGAGGACAGCGAGGAGTACCTGGAGAATGCACAGGTGCGGACGGCTGTGAGTTGTTGGGTCTTAGCACCAAACTGGTTTTACCTGATTTCTGATTTCCCTGTAAACGAGGAAGTGCAGATCCTTCATAATCCACTTTACAGGACATTGTTCATTCAACACGCGAGTGATGCACTTCTACTGTCCCCACAGCTAACTGTGTGCATGTGTGTGTGTGCATGTGTGTGTGTGCACGTGTGTGTGTGCACGTGTGTGTGCGCGTGTATAGAGTGTCAAGCAAACCTTTGCCACATAAGTAGGAACAATGTTTATCTAATTTATCTTTGTAACTATTGCATATTTTAATGGAACTTGTGATGGAAGAAAATGTACAAGAAGTTGTACTGTTTCTAGCCAAATCCCAGATTTATCTGTAATCAGTGTTTAGGAGCCACTTGTGTCACAGGGAGGAAGATTCTGGAAACCAGAGTGTGATTGTAATGACTGTATTTGACCACTAGGAGTGCATATTACATACAGACCCTTTACACAGCCCACCTCTCTCTGTCCACAGGAGCCAGACCCAGAGGTGACTGTCCTGGAGGAGCTCCCTGGCTTCACCCCTGACGACTCCACTTCCTCCCTCATCCCGGAGCGCGACACCTGCGACCCGTCCACGGCCCGCGCCTCGGCCTCCGTCAGCCCCAGCCCCTCCTGCCTCAGCGACGTCAAATCGGTCGCCATCAACTCTCCCTCCAAACTCCTCAAGTTCCTCAAGATCCCCAGCATCACAGAGAAATGCCAAGCCAGTTCCAACGCCCCTGCCGTCCGTTTGAGTCCGCAGCTAACCCGAAACTCGCGCATTCCCTGTCGCACAAATAACTACGAGGTTTACCATTCCCCGGTTCCCACGCGAAGAGCAACAACGACCGAAAGGTGCAGACAACCTCCTCCTCCGCCCACCAGATCAGAATCCTATCCAGCCACTCACTCCGCTCCCACTTCCCCTCCGCAATCGGAAGATACGCTGCCTGAGAAAGATTATGCAAGTCCTGCAAAATCCAAGATGGTCGCTACCTCTTCCAACACTGCTGCTGCTTCAAAAGTCTCCATCCCCCATTACGAAAATGTCTGCGATGTCATGGCAAAAGTTAGTGACGATCCTGGCGGTTTTGAGAAAAGGACAATCCCACAAGTCAGAGCAAACATAGGAGAGAGAAAGCTGGTTAAATCGTTACCAGAATCTGTCTTGAAAGCTTCAAACGATCGAAAACAGTCTTCGTCTTCAACAACAGATTCTACGTCCGATGAGGAGGATTCAGAGAGCCCAGTTTGGGTTAATCACCAGAATGTACCGACTTGTCAACCCGCAGGCAAAGCACATTTCACTCGTCCAGTTGATAAGCAAGAAGCAAAAGATGGTATCCAACCTCCGCCGCCCTCTAAAAGAGTCGATTCTTCGTCCATCCCCAAAAGGCCGAGCGTTGTCACTCCAAAATCCCAAGGAGATCCCAGTCACCACGCTTTCAAAGAGCGCCTCGCTGCGTTGGGGAAGCTGCGGAGCTCCGACGATTTGCAAGTGGGTTTCAAACAAGTGGACACAGCTATTTTCGGCGAAGTTATTGAGGAACAAAATGTAAGAACAGTGGACAGGCCGCAACCCACGGAAATCCAAAAAGAAGAGGTGAAATTTGCGAAATATGCCGAATCGTTAGAATGTAAATCAAAAGTCAATGATAGGGGGATTAAATACTCCGCACAAATGTTTGAGCAAGTCGCGAAATCGCAGCAACCTCCAGCCAAGCCAGAGATCGCCAAACCGGATGCTCCAAAAAGTAAAATAGGTCTTCCTTCGCCGATAACGGACGCGCCGCAAGTACTTCGCAATAATATCAAATGCCCGGGCTCTTTGAATTTGCCCTACAATGTAAAAACTGCTAATAGTCCAAACAAAATCCCCCCGAAATCGCCTTCCAAGCCTTGTCCAACATCAGTTCAAAGAATGAGTAAAGCCTCAGAAGCGCCGCGGTACTCTTCCAAATCTGAAGAGCGAACAAAAATCGGCGGGAAGGGAAAGAAAAATCCGATTTTTGGTGACAGCCTGCCGCCACCTCCACCCAAACCTCCTGTAGAAACCCAGGTGGAGAAGCCTGCACCACCGGCCACGAGCCCGCAGTCGGCCATCGAGCAGAAGGTCATGAAGGGCATCGAAGAAAACATGCTGAAAGAGCAAGATAAAGTGGTGCTGCCCGGAGAGGTCAAGCAGAAGACGTCCAACGGCATCGCCAGCTGGTTCGGTCTGAAAAAGAGCAAGTTACCTGCTCTGAGTCGCAAAACAGACGGAGTCAAAGCCAAGGACGAGAAGCGGGAATGGAAAATCAACATCCCGTCCGTGGGCAGAGACTCGGTGAAGGTGAGTTTGTTGGTGCTGACCTACACAACCCTACACAACCCTACACAACATCAGAGACTCACATCGGTCCAAACAACTACACAACATCAGTGACTCGGCGAACACAGTTAGCAGCACTTGTTTAATCCTGGTTTAGTCCTGGTTGTCTGTATGTGTCTGTGATTAAAGCGTGTGTCTGTAGGTGTCTGTGGTTAAAGCGTGTGTCTGTAGGTGTCTGTGGTTAAAGCGTGTCTGTAGGTGTCTGTGGTTAAAGCGTGTCTGTAGGTGTCAGAGATTAAAGCGTGTGTCTGTAGGTGTCAGAGATTAAAGCGTGTGTCTGTAGGTGTCTGTGGTTAAAGCGTGTGTCTGTAGGTGTCTGTGGTTAAAGCGTGTGTCTGTAGGTGTCTGTGGTTAAAGCGTGTGTCTGTAGGTGTCAGTGGTTAAAGCGTGTGTCTGTATGTGTCTGTGGTTAAAGCGTGTGTCTGTAGGTGTCTGTGGTTAAAGCGTGTGTCTGTAGGTGTCTGTGGTTAAAGCGTGTGTCTGTAGGTGTCTGTGGTTAAAGCGTGTGTCTGTAGGTGTCTGTGGTTAAATCATGTGTCTGTAGGTGTCAGTGGTTAAATCGTGTGTTTGTAGGTGTTTGTGGTTAAAGCGTGTGTCTAGGTGTCTGTGGTTAAAGCGTGTGTCTAGGTGTCTGTGGTTAAAGCGTGTGTCTGTAGGTGTCAGTGGTTAAAGCGTGTGTCTGTAGGTGTCAGTGGTTAAAGCGTGTGTCTGTAGGTGTCTCTGGTTAAAGCGTGTCTGTAGGTGTCAGAGATTAAAGCGTGTGTCTGTAGGTGTCAGAGATTAAAGCGTGTGTCTGTAGGTGTCTGTAGTTAAAGCGTGTGTCTGTGGTTAAAGCGTGTGTCTGTATGTGTCTGTGGTTAAAGCGTGTGTCTGTAGGTGTCTGTGGTTAAAGCGTGTGTCTGTAGGTGTCTGTGGTTAAAGCGTGTGTCTGTAGGTGTCATTGGTTAAAGCGTGTGTCTGTAGATGTCAGTGGTTAAATCATGTGTCTGTAGGTGTCAGTGGTTAAATCGTGTGTTTGTAGGTGTTTGTGGTTAAAGCGTGTGTCTGTAGGTGTCTGTGGTTAAAGCGTGTGTCTGTAGGTGTCTGTGGTTAAAGCGTGTGTCTGTAGGTGTCAGTGGTTAAAGCGTGTGTCTGTAGGTGTCATTGGTTAAAGCGTGTGTCTGTAGATGTCAGTGGTTAAATCATGTGTCTGTAGGTGTCAGTGGTTAAATCGTGTGTTTGTAGGTGTTTGTGGTTAAAGCGTGTGTCTGTAGGTGTCTGTGGTTAAAGCGTGTGTCTGTAGGTGTCTGTGGTTAAAGCGTGTGTCTGTAGGTGTCAGTGGTTAAAGCGTGTGTCTGTAGGTGTCAGTGGTTAAAGCGTGTGTCTGTAGGTGTCTCTGGTTAAAGCGTGTCTGTAGGTGTCAGAGATTAAAGCGTGTGTCTGTAGGTGTCAGAGATTAAAGCGTGTGTCTGTAGGTGTCTGTGGTTAAAGCGTGTGTCTGTGGTTAAAGCGTGTGTCTGTATGTGTCTGTGGTTAAAGCGTGTGTCTGTAGGTGTCTGTGGTTAAAGCGTGTGTCTGTAGGTGTCTGTGGTTAAAGCGTGTGTCTGTAGGTGTCTGTGGTTAAAGCGTGTGTCTGTAGGTGTCAGTGGTTAAAGCGTGTGTCTGTAGATGTCTGTGGTTAAAGCGTGTCTGTAGGTGTCAGAGATAAAAGCGTGTGTCTGTAGGTGTCAGAGATTAAAGCGTGTGTCTGTAGGTGTCAGAGATTAAAGCGTGTGTCTGTAGGTGTCAGAGATTAAAGTGTGTGTCTGTGGTTAAAGCGTGTGTCTGTGGTTAAAGCGTGTGTCTAGGTGTCTGTGGTTAAAGCGTGTCTGTAGGTGTCTGTGGTTAAAGCGTGTCTGTAGGTGTCAGAGATTAAATCGTGTGTCTGTAGGTGTCTGTGGTTAAAGCGTGTGTCTGTAGGTGTCTGTGGTTGAAGCGTGTGTCTGTGGTTAAAGCGTGTGTCTGTAGGTGTCAGAGGTTAAAGCGTGTGTCTGTAGGTGTCAGAGGTTAAAGCGTGTGTCTGTAGGTGTCAGAGATTAAAGCGTGTGTCTGTAGGTGTCTGAGGTTAAAGCGTGTGTCTGTAGGTGTCAGAGGTTAAAGCGTGTGTCTGTAGGTGTCAGAGGTTAAAGCGTGTGTCTGTAGGTGTCAGTGGTTAAAGAGTGTGTCTGTAGGTGTCAGAGGTTAAAGCGTGTGTCTGTAGGTGTCAGAGGTTAAAGCGTGTGTCTGTAGATGTCAGTGGTTAAAGCGTGTGTCTGTAGGTGTCCAGCCGCTGTAAGGAGGGCGTGGAGGGCCTGAACATCTCGACGCTGATGGAGAAGGCCGAGGGTCTGCGGCGGGCGCTGGAGGAGGAGCGGCAGTTCGTGGAGCGGCAGACCAGAGGACACTCGTGTGAAGTGGTGATGGACCAGAGCCAGGGCCAGCTCGCCGTCATGTACCGAGGAGGCCGCTCCGACACCTTCATGCAGCAGCTGCTCAACAGGTCAGAGGTCACAGCTGTCGTTCTCTGGACCCTGAGTGGTCCTGACCCAAACTGCTTCTGTGGTCGGACTGGGAGGTACAGACCCAAAATGCTTCTGTGGTCGGTCTGGGAGGTACTGACCCAAACTGCTTCTGCGGTCGGTCTGGGAGGTACTGACCCAAACTGCTTCTGCGGTCGGTCTGGGAGTAACTCAGTCTGTAACTTCACTGTTGAAATCATCTGCCCTAAAATAGAAACATGTTTCTGTTTAAAGACCTTATGCCGGGTTTGATTTATTTAGAAATACAGTTTTAATACCATTTTATATTAGAAGAGAACAACTAAAGGTTTCAAAATCAGTTGTTGTTTTTTTTGTCTGATCCTCCCAAATCGAAATAACCCCATAGCAACGCCCTTAGAAACGAAAAAACTTCACAGCCCTTGGTGACGTCAGAGTGGGTACGTTTCAACGCTGTAAGTTGTTTACAATTTGGTATTCGTTCTTTTTTCGCGGATATTCAAGATGACAAGGCCGTATACAGCGAGTGTGAGATAACTACTAGAATGTAACACTTCGTTGTCACTGAGATAGTCCAGTGGTTGTGTCGATGGACTGTCAATCCAGATACTTGGGTTCAAATCCCACCTCGGACATATTTCCACTCTCAAAACGGCAATTTATGTGTAGTGAGCAATTGTCACCTGTAGAGGGCAGTATTGTGTTGGGCATCAGTGGAGAGAAGAGAGAAAAGGCAGTCCTGTGGCATAGATCCATGGTTTTCAATGCATGGGCGTAACCCGCTGTGACGTCACACACAGGTTAGAGCATAGACAACTTAAATTCATGAAAAACACGTTCTTTTTATAAAATATAGGATTTTTTTTTGCCGGAATCTCTTTCAGATCGACATTGTCATGCAATTTTGATATCCACAATTTAAAAAAAAAAAACCTGGCATAAGGTCTTTAAAACACTAAGTAAAAATACTCTCTGACTCCTGATTGGCTGCAGGTCCATGGACCTGTCAGAGCTGGTCTTCACACCAAACACTGGGCCCTCCTCAGACTCGTGGTTCATTCTTCACAAATGTGGAACATTAGAATGTTCAGTATTGATTATAATAAATGTAACAATAGTAATAAATGTAACAATAGTAATAAATGTAACAATAGTAATAAATGTAACAATAGTAATACATGTAACAATAGTAATACATGTAACAATAGTAATACATGTAACAATAGTAATACATGTAACAATAGTATTAACAGTAACAATAGTATTAACAGTAACAATAGTATTAACAGTAACAATAGTATTAACAGTAACAATAGTATTAATAGTAACAATAGTATTAATAGTAACAATAGTATTAACAGTAACAATAGTATTAACAGTAACAATAGTATTAATAGTAACAATAGTATTAATAGTAACAATAGTATTAACAGTAACAATAGTATTAACAGTAACAATAGTATTAACAGTAACAATAGTATTAACAGTAACAATAGTATTAATAGTAACAATAGTATTAATAGTAACAATAGTATTAACAGTAACAATAGTATTAACAGTAACAATAGTATTAACAGTAACAATAGTATTAACAGTAACAATAGTATTAATAGTAACAATAGTATTAATAGTGATAATGTGGTTGTGTTGCAGAGTGGACGGTAAAGACGTGGTGTGTTTGCCTCAGAGACGTCTGTCCTTCGACTGTAAAAACTCTAAACCAGTTTTTCACACGGACCTGCTGAGCCGAGACCACATGGACCAGGTGACATCACAGAGTGTGACATCACAGAGTAACATCAGAGTGTGACATCAGAGTGTGACATCACAGACTCAGTGTGACATCACAGTGTGTGACATCACAGGAGACTGTCCATGTCCCAGTTCTCATCTTATTACATGAAATCATTGAATGGGCTTTTGCACATGTTATGACAATGAATCATTTCCACCAATCAGGGAGTTGCGGAAGGAGCAGGGGGTCTAACCAGAGCCAAAGGGCGTGTTGTTTGGACCCGTGTCCTCTCTCCACAGAGCTGACTGGTGCTGTGTGTTTTCAGGCTGCAGACAGAAACATCACGTCTGATGAGAACCTCGCAGACTCAGTGCAACACTTTGCAGGTGAGAATCCAAACATGACATCACAGAATCAAACATGACATCATAGAATCCAAACATGACATCACAGAATCAAACATGACATCACAGAATCAAACATGACATCACAGAATCAAACATGACATCACAGAATCAAACATGACATCACAGAATCCAAACATGACATCACAGAATCCAAACGTGACATCACAGAATCAAACATGACATCACAGAATCAAACATGACATCACAGAATCAAACATGACATCACAGAATCAAACATGACATCACAGAATCCAAACATGACATCACAGAATCCAAACATGACATCACAGAATCAAACATGACATCACAGAATCAAACATGACATCACAGAATCAAACATGACATCACAGAATCCAAACATGACATCACAGAATCCAAACATGACATCACAGAATCCAAACATGACATCACAGAATCCAAAGTGACATCACAGAATCCAAACATGACATCACAGAATCAAACGTGACATCACAGAATCCAAACATGACATCACAGAATCAAACATGACATCACAGAATCAAACATGACATCACAGAATCCAAACACACACAGATCTTCACCACACACTGACCTGGAGTGGTTTTTACTTCCGGCCACATCGTGCAGATCCCAGGCTCCTTTGCTCTAAATGCTTTTGAACTGGTTTTAATCTGTCAGACTATTGCACATTCTGACATTCAGACTATTGCACATTCTGACATTCAGACTATTGCACATTCTGACATTCAGACTATTGCACATTCTGACATTCAGACTATTGCACATTCTGACATTCAGACTATTGCACATTCTTCAGACTATTGCACATTCTGACATTCAGACTATTGCACATTCTGACATTCAGACTATTGCACATTCTGACATTCAGACTATTGCACATTCTGACATTCAGACTATTGACATTCAGACTATTGCACATCTGACATTCAGACTATTGCACATTCTGACATTCAGACTATTGCACATTCTGACATTCAGACTATTGCACATTCTGACATTCAGACTATTGCACATTCTGACATTCAGACTATTGCACATTCTGACATTCAGACTATTGCACATTCTGACTGACATTCAGACTATTGCACATTCTGACATTCAGACTATTGCACATTCTGACATTCAGACTATTGCACATTCTGACATCGACATTGCACATTCTGACATTCAGACTATTGCACATTCTGACATTCAGACTATTGCACATTCTGACATTCAGACTATTGCACATTCTGACATTCAGACTATTGCACATTCTGACATCATTCAGACTATTGCACATTCTGACATCATTCAGATTATTGCACATTCTGACATCATTCAGACTATTGCACATTCTGACATCATTCAGACTATTGCACATTCTGACATTCAGACTATTGCACATTCTGACATCATTCAGACTATTGCACATTCTGACATTCAGACTATTGCACATTCTGACATTCAGACTATTGCACATTCTGACATTCAGACTATTGCACATTCTGACATCATTCAGACTATTGCACATTCTGACATCATTCTGACACATTCAGCTATTGCACATTCTGCACATTCAGACTGCACACTTTCAGACTATTGCACATTCTGACATTCAGACTATTGCACATTCTGACATTCAGACTATTGCACATTCTGACATCATTCAGACTATTGCACATTCTGACATCATTCAGACTATTGCACATTCTGACATTCAGACTATTGCACATTCTGACATTCAGACTATTGCACATTCTGACATCATTCAGACTATTGCACATTCTGACATCATTCAGATGATTGCACATTCTGACATCATTCAGACTATTGCACATTCTGACATTCAGATTATTGCACAGATGATGCACAGATGGTCTGGTGTTTGGCAGCGGTCTGAATCCAACAGATCAGACTTGTTCTAAAACCCCAAAGTAAACATGTGTTTACCTGTGTTTACCTGTGTTGCAGCCGGCTCTGGGGCCTCCACGTACACCCTGGACAGTGGCATCGGGACCTTCCCCCTCCCTGAGTGCAGCAGTGGGTCCACAGGGAGGGGCCTGTCTCGGAGCAGGGACCACAGCTCGTCCCCGGGTAGAGCAGGCAGACGCTCCCGCACTCTGGAGAGAGAGGTTCCATCTCAGGACGACTGCTACAGCCACAAGCCTCTGCAGCCAGGCCCCTACGGGCTCCTGGGCGAGGGCCGGCCCAGCGCCATCAGAGAGGGTGGGCCCCTACACTCACTCTGTCGACAGGGCTGGGGACTGGCCCCAATATCAGGATTCAATAGTACTGTGAACTTTGGGCCATAATTCAATTATATTTTATATTATGATGATTCTTAACATATCACGATACAGACAGTCTGTGATTCTAACATATCACGATACAGACAGTATGTGATTCTAACATATCACGATACAGACAGTCTGTGATTCTAACATATCACGATACAGACAGTCTGTGATTCTAACATATCACGATACAGACAGTATGTGATTCTAACATATCACGATACAGACAGTCTGTGATTCTAACATATCACGATACAGACAGTCTGTGATTCTAACATATCACGATACAGACAGTCTGTGATTCTAACATATCACGATACAGACAGTCTGTGATTCTAACATATCACGATACAGACAGTCTGTGATTCTGAACATATCACGATACAGACAGTCTGTGATTCTAACATATCACGATACAGTCTGTGATTCTGACATATCACGATACAGACAGTCTGTGATTCTGACATATCACGATACAGACAGTCTGTGATTCTAACATATCACGATACAGTCTGTGATTCTGACATATCACGATACAGACAGTCTGTGATTCTGAACATATCACGATACAGACAGTATGTGATTCTAACATATCACGATACAGACAGTCTGTGATTCTAACATATCACGGTACAGACAGTCTGTGATTCTGACATATCACGATACAGACAGTCTGTGATTCTGACATATCACGATACAGACAGTCTGTGATTCTAACATATCACGATACAGACAGTCTGTGATTCTAACATATCACGATACAGACAGTCTGTGATTCTAACATATCACGATACAGACAGTCTGTGATTCTAACATATCACGATACAGACAGTCTGTGATTCTGACATATCACGATACAGACAGTCTGTGATTCTAACATATCACGATACAGACAGTCTGTGATTCTGACATATCACGATACAGACAGTCTGTGATTCTGACATATCACGATACAGACAGTCTGTGATTCTAACATATCACGATACAGACAGTCTGTGATTCTGAACATATCACGATACAGACAGTCTGTGATTCTAACATATCACGATACAGACAGTCTGTGATTCTAACATATCACGGTACAGACAGTCTGTGATTCTGACATATCACGATACAGACAGTATGTGATTCTAACATATCACGATACAGACAGTCTGTGATTCTAACATATCACGATACAGACAGTCTGTGATTCTAACATATCACGATACAGACAGTCTGTGATTCTAACATATCACGATACAGTCTGTGATTCTGACATATCACGATACAGACAGTCTGTGATTCTGACATATCACGATACAGACAGTCTGTGATTCTAACATATCACGATACAGTCTGTGATTCTGACATATCACGATACAGACAGTCTGTGATTCTGAACATATCACGATACAGACAGTCTGTGATTCTAACATATCACGATACAGACAGTCTGTGATTCTAACATATCACAATACAGTCTGTGATTCTGACATATCACGATACAGACAGTCTGTGATTCTAACATATCACGATACAGTCTGTGATTCTAACATATCACGATACAGACAGTCTGTGATTCTGACATATCACGATACAGACAGTCTGTGATTCTGACATATCACGATACAGACAGTCTGTGATTCTAACATATCACGATACAGACAGTCTGTGATTCTAACATATCACGATACAGACAGTCTGTGATTCTGACATATCACGATACAGACAGTCTGTGATTCTAACATATCACGATACAGTCTGTGATTCTAACATATCACGATACAGACAGTCTGTGATTCTAACATATCACATTACAGACAGTCTGTGATTCTGACATATCACGATACAGACAGTCTGTGATTCTGACATATCACGATACAGACAGTCTGTGATTCTAACATATCACGATACAGACAGTCTGTGATTCTAACATATCACGATACAGTCTGTGATTCTAACATATCACGATACAGACAGTCTGTGATTCTGACATATCACGATACAGACAGTCTGTGATTCTGACATATCACGATACAGACAGTCTGTGATTCTGACATATCACGATACAGACAGTCTGTGATTCTGACATATCACGATACAGACAGTATGTGAGTCTTCTGGTTGTGTGTTTTCTCCTGAGTGTGTGTTGTGTGTCCTCTGAGTGTGTGTGTTGTGTGTCCTCTGGTTGTGTGTCCTCTGAGTGTGTGTGTTGTGTGTCCTCTGGTTGTGTGTCCTCTGAGTGTGTGTGTTTTGCCTGTGCAGATGGTCCCAGTGTGTTCTCTCCTCGCACTAAGACCTGGACCTTCCCGAACCTGAAGGCTCCTACGGGACCAGCAGAGGTCTACCTGGCTGTGGAGGAGGAGGAGGAGGAGGCCTACAGCTCTTCGTACCGAGCGGTGAGGCCTTCACAGAGAGACCACATGGTATTGGACCATAGAGCGAGACCACATGGTATTGGACCATAGGGAGAGACCATTGGACCATAGGGAGAGACCACATAGTGTTGGACCATATGGAGAGACCAGATGGTATTGGACCATAGGGAGAGACCACATGATTTTGGACCATAGGGAGAGACCACATGGTATTGGACCATAGGGAGAGACCACATGGTATTGGACCATAGGGAGAGACCACATGATTTTGGACCATAGGGAGAGACCACATGGTATTGGACCATAGGGAGAGACCACATGATTTTGGACCATAGGGAGAGACCACATGGTATTGGACCATAGGGAGAGACCACATGGTATTGGTCCATAGGGAGAGACCACATGGTTTTGGACCATAGGGAGAGACCACATGGTATTGGACCATAGAGAGAGACACATGGTAGGGGTCCATAGGGAGAGACCATGAATGTAGTAGATTGTAGAGTGTCCTGGATCACCACAGTCCTTCTCTCTCTCTTTGTGAAAAAAAATATTTTAAAAATTTGGTAATAATGGCTTTTTATTTTAATCTGAGCACATGGCACAGACTGGTTGCCTCGCTCCTGTCATTGAGAGTCCGGAAAAGAACTGTGTATAACTGATTTATTATTATTATTATTATTATTATCATCATTATCAACATAGTCTGCAAAACCTTTTAATATTTCACAGTTGTTCTTCTGCTCGTGTTGAAGGAGGCAGCTGTGGTTTGCTCCTGAGGCACAGACGCTTTCAGACCCCATGCATTTTTAAATCTGTCTTACGTAAAGAAGTCGATGTTTCATAACAGACTGTGGTCTCGGCCTCACGACTGAGGCTGTAAACCCAGGACTGAGGCTGTAGACCCAGGACTGAGGCTGTAGACCCAGGACTGAGGCTGTAGACCCAGGACTGAGGCTGTAGACCCAGGACTGAGGCTGTAGACCCAGGACTGAGGCTGTAGACCTTGGACTGAGGCTGTAGATCCAGGACTGAGGCTGTAGATCCAGGACTGAGGCTGTAGACCCAGGACTGAGGCTGTAGACCCAGGGCCGAGGCCGTAGACCCAGGACTGAGGCTGTAGACCCAGGACTGAGGCCGTAGACCCAGGGCCGAGGCCGTAGACCCAGGACCGAGGCCGTAGACCCAGGACCGAGACTGTAGATCCAGGTGGTTCTCAAACTGTGGCTCCTGTTTGTTGCAGAGTCTGAAGTCCAGTGGCCCGTCCTCCAGTCGAGTGGTGGACCCCGGCTCTCTGCCCGTGCCGGTCCAAGCCGCTGTGAGCCGCAGAGGGAAGACCAGGGCCCCCAGCGTCCCAGAGATGAACCCCGCTGCCCTGGACCCTCTCTCCCCCAGCCGGCCCCCCCACCTGGAGACCCCTGAGTCCCTGAGCGACTCTCTGTACGACAGCCTCTCCTCCTGCGGGAGTCAGGGGTGAGGGGAGGGGGGGGAGGGGTGAGGGGGAGAGGGAGAGGGAGGGGGAGAAGAGGAGGGAGAGAGTCATGTTCAGACTGAAGGCATCAAACATGTCACACCAAAGTCAAAGCTGCACTGTGTAACTCCTCCCAGTCCGACAAAGCATTTCCACAAACTGCTGTAGACGACACGGCCCCAGCACGAGCCTCAGGCCCGGCCCCAGCACGAGCCTCAGGTCCGGCCTCAGCACGAGCCTCAGGTCCGGCCCCAGCACGAGCCACAGGTCCGGCCTCAGCACGAGCCTCAGGCCCGGCCCCAGCACGAGCCTCAGGTCCGGCCTCAGCACGAGCCTCAGGCCCGGCCTCAGCACGAGCCTCAGGTCCGGCCTCAGCACGAGCCTCAGGTCCGGCCTCAGCACGAGCCTCAGGCCCGGCCTCAGCACGAGCCTCAGGTCCGGCCTCAGCACGAGCCTCAGGCCCGGCCTCAGCACGAGCCTCAGGTCCGGCCTTAGCACGAGCCTCAGGCCCGGCCTCAGCACGAGCCTCAGGCCCGGCCCCAGCACGAGCCTCAGGTCCGGCCTCAGCACGAGCCTCAGGTCCGGCCTCAGCACGAGCCTCAGGCCCGGCCTCAGCACGAGCCTCAGGCCCGGCCTCAGCACGAGCCTCAGGTCCGGCCTTAGCACGAGCCTCAGGCCCGGCCTCAGCACGAGCCTCAGGCCCGGCCCCAGCACGAGCCTCAGGTCCGGCCTTAGCACGAGCCTCAGGCCCGGCCTCAGCACGAGCCTCAGGCCCGGCCCCAGCACGAGCCTCAGGTCCGGCCTCAGCACGAGCCTCAGGTCCGGCCCCAGCACGAGCCACAGGTCCGGCCTCAGCACGAGCCTCAGGCCTGGCCCCAGCACGAGCCTCAGGTCCGGCCTCAGCACGAGCCTCAGGCCCGGCCTCAGCACGAGCCTCAGGTCCGGCCTCAGCACGAGCCTCAGGTCCGGCCTCAGCACGAGCCTCAGGCCCGGCCTCAGCACGAGCCTCAGGTCCGGCCTCAGCACGAGCCTCAGGCCCGGCCTCAGCACGAGCCTCAGGTCCGGCCTTAGCACGAGCCTCAGGCCCCGGCCTCAGCACGAGCCTCAGGCCCGGCCCCAGCACGAGCCTCAGGTCCGGCCTCAGCACGAGCCTCAGGTCCGGCCTCAGCACGAGCCTCAGGCCCGGCCTCAGCACGAGCCTCAGGCCCGGCCTCAGCACGAGCCTCAGGTCCGGCCTTAGCACGAGCCTCAGGCCCGGCCTCAGCACGAGCCTCAGGCCCGGCCCCAGCACGAGCCTCAGGTCCGGCCTTAGCACGAGCCTCAGGCCCGGCCTCAGCACGAGCCTCAGGCCCGGCCCCAGCACGAGCCTCAGGTCCGGCCTCAGCACGAGCCTCAGGTCCGGCCCCAGCACGAGCCACAGGTCCGGCCTCAGCACGAGCCTCAGGTCCGGCCTCAGCACGAGCCTCAGGCCCGGCCTCAGCACGAGCCTCAGGCCCGGCCTCAGCACGAGCCTCAGGTCCGGCCTCAGCACGAGCCTCAGGCCCGGCCTCAGCACGAGCCTCAGGCCCGGCCCCAGCACGAGCCTCAGGTCCGGCCTCAGCACGAGCCTCAGGTCCGGCCCCAGCACGAGCCACAGGTCCGGCCTCAGCACGAGCCTCAGGTCCGGCCTCAGCACGAGCCTCAGGCCCGGCCTCAGCACGAGCCTCAGGTCCGGCCTCAGCACGAGCCTCAGGCCCGGCCTCAGCACGAGCCTCAGGCCCGGCCTCAGCACGAGCCTCAGGTCCGGCCTCAGCACGAGCCTCAGGCCCGGCCCCAGCACGAGCCTCAGGTCCGGCCTCAGCACGAGCCTCAGGTCCGGCCCCAGCACGAGCCTCAGGCTCGGCCCCAGCACGAGCCTCAGGCCCGGCCTCAGCACGAGCCACAGGCCCGGCCTCAGCACAAGCCTCAGGTCCGGCCTCAGCACGAGCCTCAGGCCCGGCCCCAGCACGAGCCTCAGGTCCGGCCCCAGCACTAGCCTCAGGCCCGGCCTCAGCACGAGCCTCAGGCCCGGCCCCAGCACGAGCCTCAGGTCCGGCCCCAGCACTAGCCTCAGGCCCGGCCTCAGCACGAGCCTCAGGCCCGGCCTCAGCACAAGCCACAGGCCTGTACGACGAGGCCAGTTTATCTGTATAGCACAGTGACACACACCCGCCACTCAAAGCCAGACATTAACATCATAAATCATCACAGAACATTCACTTATTGACTGCTGCCGTTTGGGATGATTTCACTGACTTTCAAGACCCACAGAATACCATGTGCTGTGACTGTGTGAGCTATGAACCCAGATCCTGAAAGACTGGACCGTCCACTTTCAGCAGCAAAAATAAGTTTGTTTCTAGCTGTTTTTGTTCTCCTGTGATCCCCGGGCGAATACGGGGAAGACAGACAGAAATCACGGGTCTTTTGGCAGTCAGTCAGTTTTTGCAGAAACTGTTTTTAACCTGGATTTAAACATTGTCAGAGACGAAGCCTGTCTCACATTTTCAGGAAGACTGTTCCAGGTTTTAGCATGAATCTGAAACGCTGCCTCCTCATGGTTAGCCCTGACTCTGGGTCCAGGACTGAGGAGAGATTCTAAAGTCTCAACATGTCAAAACTTTTTGTCTCATAAATAAAACATGTGAGTCCAACACAAAGAGTCTAAATATACAAGAGGACGTTCTACTTCCTCCTGGAGCTTTGACTATTGGTCCTCCCAACTGTCAATCATTCTGCTGATACGTGCTCGTCCAATAAGAGCAGAGTTTGGTTCAAAAAGTGGAGAGGGCGATTCTTCCTAAAATGTGGAAAAATCCTTCTTTATACATTTAAAGGAGCAGTGTGTAAGATTTTTAAGTCGAGTCCTCGTTAAAGGGCCCTAATCTGTGGTCATTAAAGGGCCCTAATCTGTGGTCATTAAAGGGACCTAATCTGTGGTCATTAAAGGGCCCTAATCTGTGGTCATTTAAGGGCCCTAATCTGTGGTCATTAAAGGGCCCTAATCTGTCGTCCTTAAAGGGCCCTAATCTGTCGTCCTTAAAGGGCCCTAATCTGTCGTCATTAAAGGGCCCTAATCTGTGGTCATTAAAGGGACCTAATCTGTGGTCATTAAAGGGCCCTAATCTGTGGTCATTAAAGGGCCCTAATCTGTGGTCATTAAAGGGCCCTAATCTGTGGTCATTTAAGGGCCCTAATCTGTGGTCATTAAAGGGCCCTAATCTGTCGTCCTTAAAGGGCCCTAATCTGTCGTCATTAAAGGGCCCTAATCTGTCGTCATTAAAGGGCCCTAATCTGTGGTCATTAAAGGGACCTAATCTGTGGTCATTAAAGGGCCCTAATCTGTGGTCATTAAAGGGCACTAATCTGTGGTCATTAAAGGGCCCTAATCTGTCGTCCTTAAAGGGCCCTAATCTGTCATAATAATAAACTGCTCTTTTCCAATCCTTCTTTAACTGATAACAGCAGTTCAGAGATATTTGAATTTCTAAATTACTTTTCCAGCCTCTAAATCTTGTTATTGTTTTCATTTCGATGTCCCGCCCTCCACCGTTTCACCAATCAGAAAGTCTGTGATCTGGGCGCCAGAACTCACCGCGTGGAGCTAATCTCACTGGTAAAGTACCATGTGGCGCAGAACTAAAAAAGGTCTCATTATGATTCTCAAATCATTAACGACAAAACAAGGAATAAAAGCAGGATTTCTATCTTTGTGAAAAAGGTGTTGGTTATAGATTTGTTGTTGACAAAACTCTTGTCTATTCAGCTGTTATGGTCCCAGCTGGATTCGTCTGCATATCTGGCAACCTGAGTCAGGGAGAGTGGGAGAGGCTGCAGTACCACTTTTGGCCACATGTTTACAAACTGCTCCTTTAAGTAAAACTCGATGTCTTTAAGTCTTTAGAAACTTCTCTGTAAAACTGACATCACACGTTTATGACTCTCTCACACAAAGTTACACACTGCAGCTTTAAAAGTCTCCTGTGTGTGGTTCAGTGCAGCACATGTCCACAGCCTGTTTTCTGTTTGTCGTGGTGCGGGTTATTTATCTATCGCAACTGGAAAGATCATCTCCTCAGGACTAACACGAGCCAGGACTGAGGCTGTAGACCCAGGACCGAGGCTGTAGACCCAGGACCGAGGCCGTAGACCCAGGACCGAGGCCGTAGACCCAGGACCGAGGCCGCGGACCCAGGACCGAGGCCGCAGACCCAGGACCGAGGCCGCAGACCCAGGACCGAGGCCGTAGACCCAGGACCGAGGCCGTAGACCCAGGACCGAGGCCGCAGACCCAGGGCCGAGGCCGTAGACCCAGGACCGAGGCTGCAGACCCAGGACCGAGGCTGCAGACCCAGGGCCGAGGCTGTAGACCCAGGACCCGCACAGATCCACGGCTCATGTATTTAAATAGAATGTCCACGATTGTCGATGTAAAGGAAGTGTCTGTGTTTTTCTTGTTTTTTAAATTGTTAATATATAAATCAGCAATAATTCAGAAGCGTCTCTGTGTGTGTTTGTTGATGTTGTCGTGCTGTTGTCGTGCTGTAGACTGCACCTGATGCCCCCTTTTGCAACTTTCTAATAAAAGCCTTTGATTTACAGCAGTGAGTTATTCCCGATTTAAAAACACACACATCAGAGTAATTCTGTAAGAGGTGAAAACAGCAACACAACAAGAGGATTACAACGGTCATACTTTACTTTTATGTCCCTTTAGTTCACACACACACACAGAGACAAACAGACACACTTACAGGCACACACCCAGAGATGCAGTCACGCATACACATTCACACACACACACACATTTACAGGCACACAGACACACACACAGTCACACTTACACACACAGGCACACACACAGAGACACACATGCACACTCACAGACACACACAGGCACACTCACAGACGCACACAGACACACACACACGGACCGTTGAGTCTGTAGTGAAATGTGAGTGAGCGGCGCCCTCTAGCGGCCAACAACAGGTGTGTCCAAGTTGTGAATGAAACTTTTAATGAGATAAATCAGTTGATGGTGAAGAGCCCAGAGCAGCAGCGTCTCAGAGCGTCATAGTTACTGACTCACGCACAGCAGATTAGACAACTCCGCCCAGAGTCATTGGTTCATTAGGAGGATCCTGGACACTGCGGTGGCTGAGTGGTTAGCACTGTCGCTTAGAATCAAGGAGGTCCTGGGCTCGAACCCCTAACCCTAACCTGTGTAGGTTTCCTCCAGGTCCTCCGGTTTCCACCACCACTACAAACATGTACCATAGTGCCTCCTGAGAGTCAGAGACAAATGGAACTGTTGTGACTCTGCTCTGTGAAGGTGCTATTTAATTAAACTTTACTGACTAAGTAATGTTTATTTATATAGTAATATTACTATTACTTCCTCAGTAATGTTTATTAATATATAAATAAACATTATAGTAATGTGGGAGCTGCTGATGGGTTGCACTGAAAGAGAACAAGTGACGTCACCCGGCATGGGGAAGCCGGGGCCCCACCCTGAGATAAAGTCTGAAAGTCTGAGATAAAGTTTGAAAGTCTAGGATAAATTCTGAAAGTCTGAGATAAAGTCTGAAAGTCTGAGATAAAGTCTGAAAGTCTGAGATAAAGTTTGAAAGTCTGAGATAAAGTCTGAAAGTCTGAGCTAAAATCTGAGATAAAGTCTGAAAGTCTGAGCTAAAGTCTGAAAGTCTGAGATAAAGTTTGAAAGTCTGAGATAAAGTCTGTAAGTCTGAGATAAAGTCTGAAAGTCTGAGCTAAAATCTGAGATAAAGTCTGAGATAAAGTCTGAGATAAAGTCTGAAAGTCTGAGCTAAAATCTGAGATAAAGTCTGAAAGTCTGAGCTAAAGTCTGAGCTAAAGTCTGAGATAAAGTCTGAAAGTCTGAGATAAATTCTGAAAGTCTGAGATAAAGTCTGAAAGTCTGAGATAAATTCTGAAAGTCTGAGATAAAGTCTGAAAGTCTGAGATAAAGTCTGAAAGTCTGAGATAAAGTCTGAGATGAAGTCTGAAAGTCTGAGCTAAAATCTGAGATAAAGTCTGAAAGTCTGAGCTAAAGTCTGAGCTAAAGTCTGAGATAAAGTCTGAAAGTCTGAGATAAATTCTGAAAGTCTGAGATAAAGTCTGAAAGTCTGAGATAAATTCTGAAAGTCTGAGATAAAGTCTGAAAGTCTGAAATAAAGTCTGAAATAAAGTCTGAGATGAAGTCTCAGATAAAGTCTGAAAGTCTGAGATAAAGTCTGAAAGTCTGAGATAAAGTCTGAAAGTCTGAGATAAAGTCTGAAAGTCTGAAATAAAGTCTGAAATAAAGTCTGAGATGAAGTCTCAGATAAAGTCTGAAAGTCTGAGATAAAGTCTGAAAGTCTGAGATAAAGTCTGAAAGTCTGAGATAAAGTCTGAAAGTCTGAGCTAAAGTCTGAGATAAAGTCTGAAAGTCTGAGCTAAAATCTGAGATAAAGTCTGAAAGTCTGAGATAAAGTCTGAGCTAAAGTCTGAGATAAAGTCTGAAAGTCTGAGATAAAGTCGGAAAGTCTGAGATAAAGTCTGAATAGTCTGAGCTGAGCTAAAGTCTGAGATAAAGTCTGAAAGTCTGAGCTAAAGTCTGAGATAAAGTCTGAGATAAAGTCAGATGAAGTCTGAAAGTCTGAGATAAAGTCTGAGATAAAGTCTGAAAGTCTGAGATAAAGTCTGAAAGTCTGAGATAAAGTCTGAAAGTCTGAGATAAAGTCTGAAAGTCTGAGATAAAGTCTGAAAGTCTGAGATAAAGTCTGAGATAAAGTCTGAGATAAAGTCAGATGAAGTCTGAAAGTCTGAGATAAAGTCTGAGATAAAGTCTGAAAGTCTGAGATAAAGTCTGAAAGTCTGAGATAAAGTCTGAAAGTCTGAGATAAAGTCTGAAAGTCTGAGATAAAGTCTGAAAGTCTGAGATAAAGTCTGAGATAAAGTCTGAAAGTCTGAGATAAAGTCTGAAAGTCTGAGATAAAGTCCGAGCTAAAGTCTGAGATAAAGTCTGAAAGTCTGAGATAAAGTCGGAAAGTCTGAGATAAAGTCTGAGATAAAGTCTGAAAGTCTGAGCTAAAGTCTGAGATAAAGTCGGAAAGTCTGAGCTAAAGTCTGAGATAAAGTCTGAGATAAAGTCAGATGAAGTCTGAAAGTCTGAGATAAAGTCTGAAAGTCTGAGATAAAGTCTGAAAGTCTGAGATAAAGTCTGAAAGTCTGAGATAAAGTCTGAAAGTCTGAGATAAAGTCTGAAAGTCTGAGATAAAGTCTGAGATAAAGTCTGAAAGTCTGAGATAAAGTCTGAGATAAAGTCTGAAAGTCTGAGATAAAGTCTGAAAGTCTGAGATAAAGTCAGAGCTAAAGTCTGAGATAAAGTCTGAAAGTCTGAGATAAAGTCTGAGATAAAGTCTGAGATGAAGTCAGATGAAGTCTGAAAGTCTGAGATAAAGTCTGAGATAAAGTCTGAAAGTCTGAGATAAAGTCTGAAAGTCTGAGATAAAGTCTGAGATAAAGTCTGAAAGTCTGAGATAAAGTCTGAAAGTCTGAGATAAAGTCTGAAAGTCTGAGATAAAGTCTGAAAGTCTGAGATAAAGTCAAAGTCTGAGATAAAGTCTGAAAGTCTGAGATAAAGTCTGAGATAAAGTCTGAAAGTCTGAGATAAAGTCTGAAAGTCTGAGATAAAGTCTGAAAGTCTGAGATAAAGTCTGAAAGTCTGAGATAAAGTCCGAGCTAAAGTCTGAGATAAAGTCGGAAAGTCTGAGATAAAGTCTGAGATAAAGTCAGATGAAGTCTGAAAGTCTGAGATAAAGTCTGAAAGTCTGAGATAAAGTCTGAAAGTCTGAGATAAAGTCTGAAAGTCTGAGATAAATTCTGAAAGTCTGAGATAAAGTCTGAAAGTCTGAAATAAAGTCTGAAAGTCTGAAATAAAGTCTGAGATGAAGTCTGAGATAAAGTCTGAAAGTCTGAGATAAAGTCTGAAAGTCTGAGATAAAGTTTGAAAGTCTGAGATAAAGTCTGAAAGTCTGAGATAAAGTCTGAAAGTCTGAGATAAAGTCTGAAAGTCTGAGCTAAAGTCTGAGCTAAAGTCTGAGATAAAGTCTGAGATAAAGTCTGAAAGTCTGAGCTAAAATCTGAGATAAAGTCTGCAAGTCTGAGATAAAGTCTGAGCTAAAGTCTGAGATAAAGTCTGAAAGTCTGAGATAAAGTCGGAAAGTCTGAGATAAAGTCTGAGATAAAGTCTGAAAGTCTGAGATAAAGTCTGAAAGTCTGAGCTAAAGTCTGAGATAAAGTCTGAAAGTCTGAGCTAAAGTCTGAGATAAAGTCTGAGATAAAGTCTGAGATAAAGTCTGAGATAAAGTCAGAAAGTCTGAGATAAAGTCTGAAAGTCTGAGCTAAAGTCTGAGATAAAGTCTGAAAGTCTGAGATAAAGTCTGAAAGTCTGAGATAAAGTCTGAAAGTCTGAGATAAAGTCTGAAAGTCTGAGATAAAGTCTGAAAGTCTGAGATAAAGTCTGAAAGTCTGAGATAAAGTCCGAGCTAAAGTCTGAGATAAAGTCTGAAAGTCTGAGATAAAGTCGGAAAGTCTGAGATAAAGTCTGAGATAAAGTCTGAGATAAAGTCAGATGAAGTCTGAAAGTCTGAGATAAAGTCTGAAAGTCTGAGATAAAGTCTGAAAGTCTGAGATAAAGTCTGAGATAAAGTCTGAGATAAAGTCTGAAAGTCTGAGATAAAGTCTGAAAGTCTGAGATAAAGTCGGAAAGTCTGAGATAAAGTCTGAAAGTCTGAGATAAAGTCTGAGATAAAGTCTGAAAGTCTGAGATAAAGTCTGAGATAAAGTCTGAAAGTCTGAGATAAAGTCTGAGATAAAGTCTGAAAGTCTGAGATAAAGTCTGAAAGTCTGAGAGTCTGCTCAAAGTCTGCAGCAGTCAGCTAGCCAGTGTTTTCTGCTCTCTGTTCAATCGCTCCTTGGATGAGCATTTCATCCCCTCCCTCTGGAAATCTTCCATCATCTGCCCAGTGGCAAAGAAGGCCAATCCCACCATCAATAATGACTATCGGCCTGTAGCTCTAACATCACTGATCATGAAGAGCTTTGAGCGGCTTGTCATGACCCAGCTGCAGGCTGATGTTGGCGCCCGCTCCGACCCTCTGCAGTTTGCGTACCGGCCGCGTCGAGGCGTGGATGATGCTGTGCTGACCCTGCTGCATGGAGCTGTCTGCCATCTGGAGAAGCCCAAGTCTCTAGTGAGCATGGTCTTTGTGCATTTAACACCCTGCAACCTCATCTCATGGGACGTAAGCTGCTCCAGTTGGATGTCAACCCTCACCTCATCCTCTGGGTCCTTTCCTTCCTCACGGCGAGGGATCAAAGGGTGAATGGTCTCCTCAGCTCTCTCAGGACAATATCCACCGGTTCACCTCAAGGTTCAGTAATCTCCCCACTTCTTTTCACTCTGTATACGAACGACTGCACGAGCAATACCCCGGGAATAACATACATCAAATACTCTGACGACACAGTCATCATGGACACGACTAACACACCAGGACTTCTGCAGACTGAACTGGACTCCTTCACTCAGTGGTGTAGAGACAATTGCCTGGACCTAAATGTCTCAAAGACAAAAGAAATGGTCATTTTCTTCCATCATGGACACTCCCTCACTCCCACACTCACTGTCAACAATGACCCCATAGAAAAGGTTCATTCATACAAATATCTTGGCACCATAATCGATCATAAACTCACTTTCCAGGACAATACTGAACTTATCTTTTCTAAATGTCAACAGCGCCTTTTCTTCCTCCGCAAACTCTGTAAACTTCAGGTTCACAAATCCATTCTCTCTGTTTTCTACAAATGCTTCATTGAATCAATTCTAACTTTCAACATTACAGCTTGGTTTGGTTCACTCAGTCTCATACATCGGAATTCACTCAATAAGATCATTAAAATCAGCAGAAAAATCATTGGACAGCAGCAAGACTCACTCACAGACATTTACAATTACAAAGTTCTAAGGAAAGGCTCAGATCTCCACAGACAGCTCCCACACTCTGCACTCTCACTACAGTCTGCTCCCATCAGGGCGTAGGTTCAGGTCCCTCCCATTCAAAACAAAAAGGGCCACATCCAGCTTCCTCCCCACCTCAATTCGCCTTTTAAACAGCTGAATTGGTGACCTGTTTTATGTATTTTATATTGCATTTCTGCTCTTTTACTGTATGTATTCTTAGATTGCGTGTCTCTGTGTTTTTGTGTGCCCCCACCGGTGCTCTGTCTGTAAGTGAAGTTCCTCACGGATTAATAAAGTTATTGAATTGAATTGAATTGAGATAAAGTCTGAAAGTCTGAGATAAAGTCTGAAAGTCTGAGATAAAGTCTGAAAGTCTGAGATAAAGTCTGAAAGTCTGAGATAAAGTCGGAAAGTCTGAGATAAAGTCTGAAAGTCTGAGAAAGTCGGAAAGTCTGAGATAAAGTCGGAAAGTCTGAGATAAAGTCTGAAAGTCTGAGATAAAGTCTGAAAGTCTGAGATAAAGTCTGAAAGTCTGAGATAAAGTCTGAAAGTCTGAGATAAAGTCGGAAAGTCTGAGATAAAGTCGGAAAGTCTGAGATAAAGTCTGAAAGTCTGAGATAAAGTCTGAAAGTCTGAGATAAAGTCTGAAAGTCTGAGATAAAATTTGAACTGAACAAAGAGACGAGTGGTTTCACAGGTTTATTCTTATAAAGCACAAGAAACAATACACTACAGTTAATACAGCCAGGACTGAGGCCCAGGACTGAGGCCCAGGACTGAGGACCAGACTGAGGACCAGACTGAGGCCCAGGACTGAGGCCCAGACTGAGGCCCAGGACTGAGGACCAGATTGAGGTCCAGGACACACCGGGCCTCCAACAGTTGGACCTCCTACAGTTGGACCTCCTACAGTTGGACCTCCTACAGTTGGACCTCCTACAGCTGGACCTCCTACAGCTGGACCTCCTACAGCTGGACCTCCTACAGTTGGACCTCCTACAGCTGGACCTCCTACAGCTGGACCTCCTACAGTTGGACCTCCTACAGCTGGACCTCCTACAGCTGGACCTCCTACAGCTGGACCTCCTACAGCTGGACCTCCTACAGCTGGAGAGGGACATAACACTTTGATCAGGAACAATCAGGACAAATGTGCAGCAACTGTTTCAAATCAGAACTGGACGGGACTGGACGGGACAGGACGGGACGGGACGGGACAAGACGGGACCGAACGGGACAGGACGGGACGGGACGGGACGGGACAGGACGGGACGGGACAAGACGGGACTGGACAAGACGGGACGGGACAGGACGGGACGGACGGGACGGGACTGGACGGGACAGGACTTCCAGGACTTCCAGGACTTCCAGGACTTCCAGGACTTCCAGGACTTCCAGGACTTCCAGGACTTCCAGGACTTCCAGGACTTCCAGGACTTCCAGGACTTCCAGGACTTCCAGGACTCAGGCTTTGTTCTTTTCTGGCTCAGCCTCGGTGCTTCCCGCTCCGCTCCCGAAGCGCCGGCCCAGCTCCGAGGTCAGCACCGAGCCGTAGGGTCTCTGAGGGACAAGGGTCAGAGGTCAGATCTGCACCTCTGCGGGTCACAGGTCAGTGTTTCTGCTACTGGACTCTGTCTGTCTGTCTGTCTGTCTGTGTGTGTGTCTGTGTGTGTCCGTCTGTGTGTCTCTGTCTGTCTGTGTCTGTCTGTGTGTCTGTCTGTGTCTGTCTGTGTCTGTCTGTGTGTGTGTCTGTGTGTGTGTCTCTGTCTGTCTGTCTGTCTGTCTGTCTGTGTCTGTCTGTGTCTGTCTGTCTGTCTGTGTTTCTGTCTGTGTCTGTCTGTCTGTGTTTCTGTCTGTGTCTGTCTGTCTGTGTTTCTGTCTGTGTTTCTGTCTGTGTCTGTCTGTCTGTGTTTCTGTCTGTGTCTGTCTGTGTCTGTCTGTCTGTGTTTCTGTCTGTGTGTGTCTGTCAGTGTGTCTATCTGTGTCTGTGTGTCTCTGTGTGTGTGTCTGTGTGTCTGTGTCTGTCTGTGTGTGTGTGTGTGTCTGTGTGTGTGTGCGTGTGTCTGTGTGTGTGTGTGTGTCTGTGTGTGTGTCTGTGTGTGTGTCTGTGTGTGTCTGTGTGTGTCTGTGTGTGTGTCTGTGTGTGTCTGTGTGTGTGTCTGTGAGTCCTGTAGAATTAATTCTTTGCTCTGTTTATTCCTGTTTTTTAAATAAAACAAATCTGTATAAATGTGTTTAACATTCAACAAGAGAGCTCTGTCTCGGACCACCTCCTCCTCCATCTCCTCCTCCTCCTCCTCCATCTCCTCCTCCTCCTCCTCCATCTCCTCCTCCTCCTCCTCCTCCTCCACCTCCTCCTCTATCTCCTCCTCCATCTCCTCCTCCTCCTCCTCCTCCACCTCCTCCTCCTCCTCCATCTCCTCCACCTCCTCCTCCATCTCCTCCTCCTCCTCCATCTCCTCCTCCTCCACCTCCTCCTCCTCCTCCATCTCCTCCTCCTCCTCCTCCTCCTCCATCTCCTCCTCTATCTCCTCCTCTATCTCCTCCTCCTCCTCCATCTCCTCCTCCTCCATCTCCTCCTCCTCCACCTCCTCCTCTCCTCCTCCACCTCCTCCTCAATCTCCTCCTCCTCCTCCATCTCCTCCACCTCCTCCTCAATCTCCTCCTCCTCCTCCATCTCCTCCTCCTCCTCCTCCATCTCCTCCTCCACCTCCTCCTCTATCTCCTCCTCCTCCTCCATCTCCTCCTCCTCCTCCTCCTCCTCCATCTCCTCCTCCTCCACCTCCTCCTCCTCCTCCATCTCCTCCACCTCCTCCTCCATCTCCTCCATCTCCTCCTCTATCTCCTCCTCCTCCTCCATCTCCTCCTCCTCCTCCTCCTCCATCTCCTCCTCCTCCACCTCCTCCTCCTCCTCCATCTCCTCCACCTCCTCCTCAATCTCCTCCTCCTCCTCCATCTCCTCCACCTCCTCCTCAATCTCCTCCTCCTCCTCCTCCTCCATCTCCTCCTCCTCCACCTCCTCCTCCTCCTCCATCTCCTCCACCTCCTCCTCAATCTCCTCCTCCTCCTCCTCCTCCTCATCCCGACACCTCCTCCTCCTCCTTCTTTCTTTACTCATTGTGTTCATTAAAACTGTCTAGTCTTTCCTCTGGACATGTGAATGTCCCGTGTTGTAATGTCTGTAGTTCCCAGTGGCACCAGCAGAGGGCAGTGTCTCCATCTGCAGAGACTCAGTGAAACACTGTGTTTATCAGAGAATGAGGAACAACGGTTTTCCCAAAGTAAATACACCATAGTGCAGCCAAACACGTAAACAGACCAGCAATACCCCCACTGCTGGTGCTCCTCCTGCTGGTCCCAGAGTCAGGACTAAACCCCCACTGCTGGTGTCAGTAAGTAAGTTAGTAAGTAAGTTTTTATTTATATACCGCCTTTTCACTGCAGATCTGAGTCTCAAAGCGGTTTACAATTGTTAATTTTGGGCATTTGTCTCTCACTCCACACAGAGATGGGAGGGGCCAGTACAGGAGGCACATGCCAGAACTATTGGACATATTTTTAGTGGTAGGGGAAACCGGAGTACCCGGAGGAAACCTACGCAGACACGGGGAGAACATGCAAACTCCACTCAGAAAGGCCCTGGTCCGACCGGGATTCGAACCCAGGACCTTCTTGCTGAGAGGCGAGAGTGCTATCCACTCAGCCACCGTGCCGCCCGAGTGGGAATAACAACCCCTAACGCAACACACAAAGCTTCAGTCCTGGGTCTACAGCCTCAGTCCTGGGTCGACAGCCTCAGTCCTGGGTCTACAGCCTCAGTCCTGGGTCTACAGCCTCAGTCCTGGGTCTACAGCCTCAGTCCTGGGTCTACAGCCTCAGTCCTGGGTCTACAGCCTCAGTCCTGGGTCGACAGCCTCAGTCCTGGGTCTACAGCCTCAGCCCTGGGTCTACAGCCTCAGTCCTGAGTCTACAGCCTCAGTCCTGGGTTTACAGCCTCAGTCCTGGGTCTACAGCCTCAGTCCTGAGTCTACAGCCTCAGTCCTGGGTCCTAGTCGTACCTTAGCGTCTTTGGCCTGGCGGTGGGTCTTGACCAGCAGCTCAAGCAGCCCCAGCAGCAGCCCCAGCCCCAGCCCCAGCCCCAGCAGCACAAACAGCCCCTTCAGGTCGTGGGCCTCCAGAGCGCCGCCCTGGTGGTCGTCCATGCAGCTGCGCGCCCACCACTTGTTCCGCAGGTACTGCAGCACGCCGTTCTCACTGAGCTCCAGGATGGCCACCGAGATGTTCTTCATCAGAGGGAAGCCTGCACAGGAGACCACAGCCAAGACCGTCAGAATGTTATCATTAGTCTGTTCACTGCTATTCACCCACTGTCCCATCGTCTGGTTCATGGAGTGAGGCTTCTCCCTTTTTACATTCTTTGTTTTTAGAGATGTTCCTCTGGTGCAGGAGGCTCTAAGGCAGCGGTGAGGATCAGACTGACCACGCCCCCTCCGACTGACCACGGCCCACCACACAGACCACGCCCACTCAGAATGACCACGCCCCCTCAGACTGACCACGGCCCACCACACAGACCACACCCACTCAGAATGACCACGCCCCCTCAGACTGGCCACGGCCCACCACACAGACCACGCCCACTCAGAATGACCACGCCCCCTCACACAGACCACGCCCTATCAGACTGACCACGCCCCCTCAGACTGGCCACGCCCCCCTCAGACTGACCACGCCCCCTCAGACTGGCCGCGCCCCCTCAGACTGACCACGCCCCCTCAGACTGACCACGCCCCCTCAGACTGACCACGCCCCCTCAGACTGGCCGCGCCTCGCTGTGAGATCCGAGGTGAGGGCCCACAGCTGATCGTCTCTGAAACCTGTGGCAGAACCAGCGTCTTCACTTCTGTCTCTCCCTCGTTCTGTCCTCGACTCAAAGAGTTTAGAAAATATCGTAAATATTTATTTTTCCCGAGAGGAAGATCCTGATCCTAATTTATCAGTCTACTTAATCACTGTGGCGCAGAGCACAAGGGACTTTATCTGCTGAAACATGGTCTCCCCCCCCCCCCCCCGGTCCTCCCTCCTGGTCCCCTCTTGGCCCTCCCTCCTGGTCCCCCCTCCTGGTCCCTCCTGGTCCCCCCTCCTGGTCCCCCCTCCTGGTCCTTCCTGGTCCCCCCTCCTGGTCCCTCCTGGTCCCCCCTCCTGGTCCTTCCTGGTCCCCCCTCCTGGTCCCTCCTGGTCCCCCCTCCTGGTCCTTCCTGGTCCTCCCTCCTGGTCCCTCCTGGTCCTCCCTCCTGGTCCCCCCTCCTGGTCCTTCCTGGTCCTCCCTCCTGGTCCCTCCTCCTGGTCCTTCCTGGTCCTCCCTCCTGGTCCCTCCTAGTCCCTCCTGGTCCCTCCTGCCCCCTCCCTGGGTCCTCCTGGTCCTCACCGTGGGCTGCAGCGATCCCGTAGAACCTCTCGGACACCACCTCCTCAGAGCGGGTCAGGGAGCAGTACCGGGCCACAGCCAGGTCCAGAGACACAGCTTCTCCGATGAAGGCGAAGTCCCCCTGCTGCGCCCGCCGCAGACCCTCCCCCGTGGTCTTCACGAAGCTCCGCCTCTTCTCCATCTGCTCGAACATGCGCTGGTGCAGCGGGATCTTAGAGTTCTGCACGTCAGACTTTAGGTGTCACACCAGCAACACACGCACCAGGAAAACTAGTACAACTATATCCTGCTTCCCTTTATTACTGCACCATCAACAGTTTGCTTGATGGTTCTGGGACTGTGTGGTTTAAGATTAAGAGATCCTTTATTTGTCCCACAGTGGGGACCAGAGAGAGACCAGAGAGAGACCAGAGAGAGACCAGAGAGAGAGACCAGAGAGAGACCAGAGAGAGACCAGAGAGAGACCAGAGAGAGACCAGAGAGAGACCAGAGAGAGACCAGAGAGAGAGACCAGAGAGAGACCAGAGAGAGACCAGAGAGAGACCAGAGAGAGACCAGAGAGAGACCAGAGAGAGACCAGAGAGAGACCAGAGAGAGACCAGAGAGAGAGACCAGAGAGAGAGACCAGAGAGAGAGACCAGAGAGAGAGACCAGAGAGAGAGACCAGAGAGAGACCAGAGAGAGACCAGAGAGAGACCAGAGAGAGACCAGAGAGAGACCAGAGAGAGACCAGAGAGAGAGACCAGAGAGAGACCAGAGAGAGACCAGAGAGAGACCAGAGAGAGACCAGAGAGAGACCAGAGAGAGAGACCAGAGAGACACCAGAGAGAGACCAGAGAGAGACCAGAGAGAGACCAGAGAGAGACCAGAGAGAGACCAGAGAGAGACCAGAGAGAGACCAGAGAGAGACCAGAGAGAGAGACCAGAGAGAGACCAGAGAGAGACCAGAGAGAGACCAGAGAGACCAGAGAGAGACCAGAGAGAGACCAGAGAGAGACCAGAGAGAGACCAGAGAGAGACCAGAGAGAGACCAGAGAGAGACCAGAGAGAGACCAGAGAGAGACCAGAGAGAGACCAGAGAGAGAGACAGAGAGAGACCAGAGAGAGACCAGAGAGAGAGACCAGAGAGAGAGACCAGAGAGAGAGACCAGAGAGAGACCAGAGAGAGAGACCAGAGAGAGACCAGAGAGACCAGAGAGAGACCAGAGAGAGACCAGAGAGAGACCAGAGAGAGACCAGAGAGAGACCAGAGAGAGACCAGAGAGAGAGACCAGAGAGAGAGACCAGAGAGAGAGACCAGAGAGAGACCAGAGAGAGGCCAGAGAGAGACCAGAGAGAGACCAGAGAGAGACCAGAGAGAGACCAGAGAGAGACCAGAGAGAGAGACCAGAGAGGAAGGGGGGGGGGGAAAAAGGAGAGAAGAGAGGAGGACGGGGACGAGGAGCGAGAGAGGCGGGGGCGAGGGTGGTGGAGGGTGATGGTGAAGGGGGGGAGAGGGAGGTGGAGGGGGGGTGTGACGCCGGTGGGGAGAGAGAGGGCGGTGGGGGGGAAAGGAGGGTGGTGCGGGGGGGCGGGGTGGGGGGGGAGGATGCCGGGTCCCGGGGGTGAGTCGGTGTGGGGAGGGTGAAGAGAGAGGCGGGGAGAGAGCGGGGAGGAACGTAAGGAAGTAGAGTAGACCGCGATGACGAAGGTGGAGAGAAAGAGAAGGGGAGGAAGGAGGGGGGGGAGGGAGGGCGGGGAGCGGGGGGAGGGATGCGTAGGAGGGGGAGGGGGAAAGGGGGAGGGAGGGGGGGGGAGGGGGGGAAAACTGGGGCGAGGGAGGGTGATGTAGGGGAGAGTGTAAGGGGGGGAGAGAAAAGGAGGAGAGAGGAAGGGGAAAGGAGACCGAGCGAGAGGGGAAGAGAGATAGATATAGAGAGCAAAGAGGGGGAGAGAGGCGGGGAGGAGGAGGGAGGATGAGGGCGGAGACGGAGGAGGGAAGAGGAGGGAGAGGGGGGAGGAGGGAGGGGGAGGGAGTGAGAGAGGGGAGAGGAGGAGGAGGGGGGGAGGAGGGGAGGGAGGAGGGGGAGATGAGGAGGGCGAGAGGGGAGAGAGGAGGGGAGGCGGGGGAGAGGAGGTGAGGAGAGAGGGGAGTAAGGAGGGAGGAGGAGGAGATGGAGGGGGGGAGGAGAAGAGCGGAGGAGGGGAGAGGAGGGAGGAGGAGGAGAGGAGGGAAGAGGGAGGGGAGGAGGGAGGGAGGTGGAGAGGAGGAGGGGGAGGGGAGGGGGGGGAGGGGGAGGGGGGGAGGAGGGGAGGGGGAGAGGGAAGGGGAGGGGGAGAGGGGGGGAGAGGGTGGGGAGAGGCGGGGAGAGAGAGGCGGGGAGGAGGGGAGAGAGAGGCGGGGAGAGGGGAGAGAGAGGCGGGGAGAGGGGAGGAGAGAGGCGGGGAGCGAGAGGCGGGGAGAGAGAGGCGGGGAGAGAGAGGGGGGGAGAGGAGGCGGGGAGAGAGAGGCGGGGAGAGAGAGGCGGGGAGAGAGAGGAGGGGGGGGGAGAGAGCGGCGGGGAGGGCGAGAGAGAGCGGGGAGAGAGAGGCGGGGAGGAGAGGAGAGGGGAGGGAGGGAGGGATGGGAGATGAGGGGGAGGGGGAGGTACGGAGAGGGGAGCGAGGGAGGAGGGAGGGGAGAGGGAGAGGAGGGAGGGGGAGAGAGGGAGAGGGAGGGAGGGAGAGAGGGGAGAGGGGGGAGGAGGGGGAGGAGAGAGAGGGGGAGAGAGGGGAGGAGGGAGGGGAGGAGGGGGGGAGGGAGGAGGGGGAGGGGGGGAGGAGGGGAGAGGGGGAGAGGGGAGGGGGGGAGAGGAGGGAGGGGAGAGGGAGGGAGGGAGGGGAGGGACGGGGAGGGAGAGGGGAGGAGCGGGGGGGAGAGGAGGGAGGGAGGGAGGAGGGAGGGGGAGGAGAGGGAGGGGGAGAGGGGGAGGAGGAGAGGGAGAGGGAGGGGGAGGGGGAGGGAGGGGAGGGGGGCGGAGGAGGGGGAGGGGTGGAGAGGGGAGAGAGGGAGAGGGGAGGGGGGGGGGGAGGGGAGGAGGAGAGGGAGGAGAGGGAGAGGGGAGAGAGAGGAGGGGGGAGAGAGGGGGGAGAGAGAGGGGGAGAGAGAGAGGGGGAGAGAGAGGGGGAGAGAGGGGGAGAGAGAGGGGGGAGAGAGAGGCGGGGAGAGAGGGGGAGGAGGGGGGGGGGAGAGAGAGGCGGGGGAGAGGGAGAAGAGGGGGGGGGGGAGAGAGGAGGGGAGAGGGGAGATAGAGAGGGGGGGGGGGGAGAGAGAGAGAGAGGGAGGGGATAGAGAGGAGGGGGGGGGAGAGAGGAGGGGAGAGAGGGAGAGAGGAGGAGGGAGAGAGAGCGGAGGAGGGGAGAGAGGGGAGGGGGGAGATGAGGAGGAGAGGGGGAGAGGAGAGAGGGGGGGGAGAGAGGAGGGGAGGGGATAGAGAGGAGGGGGGGGAGAGAGGAGGGGAGGGGAGAGAGGAGGGGGGGGAGAGAGAGAGGGGGAGAGAGAGGAGGGGAGAGGAGAGAGGAGGGGGGGAGAGAGGGGAGAGGAGGAGGGGAGAGAGGGGGGGAGGAGAGAGGAGGGGATAGAGAGAGGCGGGGAGAGGGGAGAGAGAGGAGGGGAGAGAGAGGCGGGGAGAGAGAGGGAGGAGAGAGAGGGGGAGGGGAGAGAGGGGGGAGAGAGGAGAGGGAAGAGAGAGGGGGGGGCGGAAGAGGGGGGAGAGAGAGGGGGGAGAGAGGCGGGGAGAGGGGGGAGAGGGGGAGAGAGAGGGGGGGGAGGGGGGAGCGAGAGGGGAGAGAGAGGTGGGGAGAGGGGAGAGAGAGGAGAGAGGTGGGGAGAGGGAGAGAGAGGCGTGGAGAGGGGAGAGAAAGGGGGGAGAGAGAGAGGCGGAGAGGGGGGAGAGAGAGGGGAGCGAGAGAGAGGAGAGAGGTGGAGAGAGAGGTGGGGAGAGGGGAGAGAGAGGGGAGAGAGAGGAGAGAGAGGTGGGGAGAGGGGAGAGAGAGGAGAGAGAGGTGGGGAGAGGGGAGAGAGGGGAGAGAGAGGTGGGGAGAGGCGAGCTCCGGGGTTTGGGAACTCAGACTGGGCGAGTGACATGTGGAAGTACCTCTGAAAGCTAAACTCCTCCGTACGCAGCTCCTGGAGTAAATGATGAAACTCTGCAAACACTGCAGCCTCAGTCTGTGGTGAACCCAGAACACGTTTTGTAGAAACCCCACGACAACGTTATTTGGCTTTATATAACAAATAAAAGCTCGCTGCTCTTTGGAAATCCTCCGTTGTCCTGACAACAGAGAAGCTCCTCCCACCGGCGTCAGGAGCGTCAAAAGCTTCAAGCACCAAAATGACAAAAATGACCCTGCGTCAGTTGAAGCGCGTCAAAAGCTTTTTGAAGCTTCCTGAACGCACCTTGAGTCTTCATAAATGTGTCTGCTGAAGCTCACTCTGATGGTGATGGTAAACTGTGTGATTCCGACGAGTCCCGACCCCATGAGCAGAAGCACATATGTTCTAATAATGTTGTTTGCAGCCGTACGTGCGCAGCGTGAGTGAGAAGTGTGTGTCGTCTGTGGAGGGAGGCCGCTGTGAGAATCCCTGTCTGCCCATGACCCGCCACTGCCTCACACGTATCCTTCTCCTTACACTGACCAGCTGCTTCGTCGTACAGTCTGACAGTCTGACTCTGGCTCCAATCAAGACGAGTGGTTTGCTGTAGCCGCTGGTTTCAAAGAGCCCACACTAACTCCTTCCTGTGGTCTGTTGGTGTCTCCACAACCAAAGGAGACGCATCAATTCAGTTGGAAGGAACACTCCTCCTGCTGCTCCTCCTGCTGCTCCTCCTGCTGCTCCTCCTGCTGCTCCTTCACACTCCTCCTGCTGCTCCTTCACACTCCTTCTGCTGCTCCTTCACACTCCTCCTGCTGCTCCTTCACACTCCTTCTGCTGCTCCTTCACACTCCTCCTGCTGCTCCTTCACACTCCTCCTGCTGCTCCTTCACACTCCTCCTGCTGCTCCTTCACACTCCTCCTGCTGCTCCTTCACACTCCTTCTGCTGCTCCTTCACACTCCTCCTGCTGCTCCTTCACACTCCTCCTGCTGCTCCTTCACACTCCTTCTGCTGCTCCTTCACACTCCTCCTGCTGCTCCTTCACACTCCTCCTGCTGCTCCTTCACACTCCTCCTC